CCCGTCGGAGTAGTTCGGGTTCGGGCGCGGGGGTACGTCTTGGGAGCCCGGGTTTTGTTTGGTTTCGGGGTACGGTTTCGGGTGCGGGATGGCTCATTGTCTATCGGTTCGGGGTGCGGGATGGCCATTACCCGCGTTTTTCGGGTCGGGGCTCAGGTTGAGACAAGAAGCCTGTTGCACTGTGACATTGTTTCATCATGGTGGACAGAACACCAATACTTCAAGATCGTGAGATACACATTTTTTGGGTTAGCCAACACCAGAGAAAGAGTTGTCAAAATTCTCTAAATTCTTCAATTGTGCAACCTACAAGGAATCTTCAAAAGATATTCAAAAAGAGTCTTGGGCTGGCACAAGAAGAACAATTACATATCTGGCAGTGCCAAATCTCGGAGACTGAGTGTATATTCTCCAGATGTGTCATACAAGGATTATGGACTCAGTGACAGTATGACTTGAAAAGGGTAAAAACTTTGACTAAGTGTGAGGAGATAACATATCTGTTATGATCAACTTTGTTGGTTCACCTTCAAAGCCCTTAGCCAGCCTACCAAGATACAGAGTGAACATGTAGGCCGGAAAGTGATGTATGTACATACCAATGCCATCTCAACAGTTCTGGTGAACTGACAGGGCCAATTGTCTTGTACTAGTAGAAAAAAGGTTTACCACCAAGAGTTTTATGCAATCATGAAGTTGTGTCTTATTAAGTATGAACTCTGGTTCATTGCTCATCTTTCTCCCAAATTACAAACATTTCATCTCCTACATTACCAAAATATGTTCAAGAGATCAAAAGCATGTAGGACTTTCTTCTCCTTCCTACTCTTACATTTGTCTGTTACCAATGTGGTACATATGCAATCCAACATAGATTGGTAGATAACAAGCAATACATATTCAGCCCATGTGGGGAAAATTTGAGCCATCTGGGCATGGGCTTCACCCTCCCCTTGGAAAGTCAAAAGAGCATGATTGGACGCGAGGTGTAAGGCCTGATAACACTATATCAACCAAACTTAAACAAAGTCCAATTGTGCCTTGGATTTTGACAACTGGTTGTTGCCAAGGCACGAGGGACTTAGGCGCTTGGCTCAATTTCTGGTGTGGTGAGTTTCCAAATTTAGTAGAGGAAAACCTGACCGTGCCACTCACCAAAAAATAGATTACACCCCAACATGAAAAGTATGAATCAAGATCTCCTGCTTCTTCTGAGAGTTTGGTCTCTTCAGATTTTCCAAAAACAAATCAAGACAAAAGTTTTCCTTGAGAGGAAAACATTGTCTTCAAAAATTGACCTGCTGTGCGAATGTTACAGAGTTCTGTGTATGTAACTCAAATTCCGAGCTACAGCCAATGGGAGCTCATGGAAAGTCAAGTCCTCAATGAAAACTTTGATGAGCATTGAGATGACAGGTGAAGTGAGTAAATGGATTGAGGAAGAGCAAGTCTTGCCTTTTGCATATCCACTTTTTTTTGCTTTTGTTTGAAATGAATACCGAGGAAATGGAGGAAATCAAAGAAAATCATTCAAACTGAGCTTACCCATCTCCCGTGCATATCTTTTGTTTCTTCAAAGGAGGCTGCAAGGTTCTTCAAGCCTTTTATTTTGCACTGAATGACTCAGCTTATCTCAAAGTGGAATGAGAATGGATATCAAGGGGATTCTTTGATACCCTTGATGTTCAAGTGTCTGATTCCAATTTTTGGATTACATACACTGATTGCTGTAAACCACAGTAAAATTTCAAAAAAATTGAAGACAATGTTTTCCTCTCAAGGAAAACTTTTGTCTCAATTGTTTCTTGAGAAATCTGAAGAGACCAATCTCTTCAGAAGAAGCAGGAGATCTTAACTCCTGCTTTCTATGTTGGGGCATAATCCACTTACCAGTGAGTGGCGTGGTGAAGTTTCCCTCTACTAAAATTGAAAACTCACCATGCCAAAAAACATGCCAACTAAGTCCCTCTTGCCTCGAAGATGACCAGTCATCAAAAAAATTCTGAGGCACGATTGGACTTTGTTAAGTTTGTGTATCAACCAACCACTTTCTCTGTGCAGGTGACAGAGCAAAAAATCTTTTTTTATTTTTTAACATTCTATGCAATCTACACAATCAAAGTGATCATTCAAAATGCAAGGATAATTTTGGCATGCTGAGCACGTTTGTGGAATGCTACATTTTTTGATGTGGTGTATGAAGCATTGTTGTTTTGCTACAAGCAGGTAACTTATACAGGGTTGTTCGTTCTTGCATGAAGAATAGCTGGTCAATAATGGCTTGGTTCCACAGCACTGACCTCTTAAAGTGTAGTTGGAATGTCAAGAATTCTCCACAATTGTGTAGGTATGAATTTCACAGTTAACAAAGTGCTTTGCTCCTGGCTATGCATTGGTTAGGGATGAGCAAGGGAATTAGTCAAGCTCTTATGAATGTAAACTGTGCTGAAGTGTGTGTAGTGTAGGATTTTTTTTACATCATGCACCTTGATAAGGGCTTTCCAGGGTCCTGACCAGACTGAGACAGAGGTAACAGTCCACAAGAGCAATGTATGAGGCACTCACTATTGTGATACATGTAAATGCTATATGCATGTGCCTCTAAGTGGTTTATGTAATCACTCAATTGCTTGAGTGGTACCGGAGAAATCCCTGTAGGAAAAAACCTGGCAAATATTTGATGATACACACTTAAAGCTTTCAAATCATGATGACTCATATGGTGACATAATCTGACAGTGGGTGAATCATTGGAATGCATCAAGAGGAAAGATAAATGGACAAACATGTCTTCAATGGCAGCAATTTGACTCAGTTGAAGGGTAAGGGTACCGGGATTTGGTACCAGTCAAATTCACTGCTTACAAATGCTAGGTGTGAGGACATGTACAAGCAGACACAGAAAAGATATGTCACCCCCAGGGCCAAACTGGCTTACATTTGGGTGTATTACATATGTGAGCTGTGATACTGTGATAGCCATGTTTTGGCTTCAAATCTTTTCTGTGTCTGCTTGTACAGGTGACCCAAGTGGTGAATTACCCAGAATTATCAGAGTGCTGTGAAAGTCCTAGCCGCTAGAATAACCTCCAAATTTGCTTTATTTGAAAAAACAAAACCAAATTTTATACCCTAGCACCAGCCCTAGGGCCTAAACCTAACACACCCACCCAAAAAAAAGAAATTGAAAAGTTCTACAATTCGGACCCAAAACTCTATGCGGGGCGGGCTTGGAGCACGTACTCGGGTTTACCCACTGTATAGAATGTATGTTTGAACTTCGTACGCCTTCTCGTATTCAACGATCACCGTGCCGTGCCCATGTTATTTTTGGATTCTTTCTTCATCTGATGGTTTTGTAATTTGGTGATTTGATATAACGCTTCTGAAGCCTTCTGACGCCTTTGCCAAATTCCATCTGCTTCAAATCGGGAAATGAGTTTACCAAGTTGTCTTGTACATATGTTACAGTCGAATTCATACAGCTTTACCACAATTCTACGAATGTGGTTTTTGCGGTCGAAGTTGGTCCACTTTTTTAAAATCGACTGTGCATATATGTATGAGCTTTTATAACCCACTCATTTCTCATTTTTGCCCCATCAAGTTGTCTCATCTCTCTTCTCTCACTTCCCAATAATGCAGCTCCTAATCGTCGTCTCCGCCGTGCTCTCACTGCTTGCAAATGTCTCTAATGCTTCTCATGTCCCTCTCTTCAAACGTCAAAGTTCCAATTACCCAGCCTTGGATATCCCCGGACCCACCCCGAAGCAGGAGTGGGTAGATGCCTACCAGCGAGAAAAGGCGGCCGGTCGGATTCCTGACATTCAACCATCAGTCAAATTACCTTCTGGACTTGTCCAATACCCAGAAAGTGTGAATCCCTTGGACCCTAGTGTCTGTAATTGGCTATTGGGCTGCAAAAGTCCTAATGAGTTGAGACTCCTTCTCGCTCGTTTGCCTTGGATAATGTGAATGCTAATCAATTTCTTTCCCTCTCGAATTCAACAGTATCAATGACGCTCCAGATGGGATGATGGGTATCAGCTTGTTTGTCATTCATTTTTCTCAGTCACAAGCTACCCAAATTACTAGGCAGAGAGTATATGCTGATGCTGAATTTTTCAATAGTGACGATGGACCGCAAGGAGGAACCACTGAACTTCTTCAGTTCCTTGGCTCTGTGAACCAGAGCGCAACTCATTTTATGATTGGTGCGTCATTTTAACAATCTATTACATTTCAACATTGCGAGACTGACAGAACGTGACAATCTTTTTGCTTGGACGAACGAAAAATAGGCAGTAGAATCCTAAGTAACACTGATGCGTTCAAAGCCACGGTCGCAAAAGGAGATCATATCGCCGTTCATACATGGAGTCGTTAGTAGCCATGCTTCGTTCCATCCGGACCTTTGCTGGAAGGCTAATTCTTCGAGGTCGAATTCTTAGATCCCCTGATGACCACTTTAACTGATCTCCAAGTCCTGGGCGAGATTGGTTGGACCTCGCAAGTAATCTTCGTTAGTCCTAATTATTTCCGACACCTCAGACTTGTGAATAGCTGGACTCATTCGAATTCGACAAACGTTCATCCATAGGATTTAAGCAATGGTCGATTGCCTGCATACTGGAGACCTCCGTATGGTATGCATACATTATCCTCGTGTTATTTGATTCCTCTGTACTTACCCATAATGTTCTTCTCGTTCCCGCCACAGGTGACACTGATAACCGAGTTAGAGCAATTGCCAAGGTATATTTGGACCTTGTACCCCAACTGCTTGCGTCACCAAGGTTGACTCTATCTACTCGCAGCACGTATTCGGGCTTCAAACCGTAATCTGGAACCACGATACGGAGGACTGGTGTGTATCACCTGATGATGTGAACATCTGCACAAACCGCGGGCCGGCAAATCAAGCAGCATTGACTGCTCAGCTCAAGGACTTCGCTAAACTACCCAAATCGCCCGGTTTAGTGATTTTAGAACATGAAGTCACGCTCCATTCAGTGCGAGGATTTGCTGATGCGTGGGCCGCTATCAAGGCAGCGGGATGGGATACCGTAAGTTTTCCGCCCGCAGTGACTTTGTGGGGACTAAGTCTTATCGGCTGTTCTGTTTTACATCATCAAGCGCCCCATCCCTGGATTGTTCAACAAACCTTGGTATCAGGTTCGTCCAACGGCTTAGTGATTGTGAAGATAGGTTGCTGATGTATCCACTCCAGAACGCCTTTGGAGGTTCCGATCACCCGAACGACGTGACTAGTGTATTGAATGCTAGCCAGTCTTTACATGGGTCTCAGCCTACCACCAGCAAGAATGCTAGCCAGTCTGTCGATCCACCCAAGCCAGTTACCTCGTCGAATACCAGCTCAGGGCTAAATTCCAGCTCAGTGCTGAACACTACCTCAGGAATCAAATCGACAACTCCGAACCTCACCAACCATGCGCCATCAGTATTTGTCAATACGTCTAGCTCCGGACCGCCAAGCGAGACCTCAGGAACTACTCGATTGAGCTTCGGGTTCTGGAATACGATGCCATTTGTTTTCTTTCTCTTTAGTTTGCTATAACATCACGATTTTGAAGGCCCTGAGTTACGCTATCCTATCTTATATAATCTCACATAGTAGAGTAGTTTTGTGATTCCTCTCTTTCCTACTGGTCCCGAATTATGTTGACACGACTGGTAGTGGTTCTTTCATTTGTCAAATTCATTCGCTTGCATACCTGGACCCCTGAAGATCTTGTCATACAACGATGAGTCGTTCTGTCCAACCCAGATGCCAAAATCGATCAGATAATGATATAGCTGAGCTTTGAATCCTACCAAAGAATACAAACGGAGACATGAAAAACGTGAGAAGAACGGCTTTCTTTACATGATTCTGCCAGTGTGACGTGGTTCCATCCTTTGAACATGAAATTGAGGAAAGAAGCACTCATACCACGAGATAATGAAACACAATTGTTGAGTTGCCTAGAACACAGAAACGTCTTGAAATTTACAAACCCACCTGCATTGCCAATGTATCAAATACTTGATGAAAAAAGCTTCAACAAGATCCAAAAAGGGTTGTGGGGCTGCATAAGCAAAACAGCCAGCTGGGTAACTTCCTACTAGGGTACATAGGCTCGTGATAGGATAAAGTACCTGTTATGATAAGTGACATGGAATCATGTATTTGTGACAGCTAGAAGATCAGTTCTTCAGCTTTGGTGCCAAGTGAAGAGCTGATAAGTGATCAAAAAATATATTGATATTTCAAGGTGAAAACTTATACAAGAAAGGAGTCTCAGATATAATTTTGAGGATTCCAAAGAGCTCATTGCCCCCTCTACATCTTTTCTCAGCCAACCAACTCAAGTGCTAACTCATACCTCAATCTCACATGAAACTGAAGGGTCTCACTGAATAATTGCTCATCAAATAATGGATTTCTAGATAATGAATAAAGTCATTAAAGTTTAAATAAGTGTCATAAAAATAAGTAATGATATATCTCTATATTTTAATAAAGCCAAAAAAAGATAAAGCAATTGTCTATTTTATCCAAATGGGCAACTGTTATCATTATGTAGAAAGGTCTGAAATATATTGAATAGTAGTGAAAAGATAGTGAAGTCATAAGATATGAATGTTCTATGTAATGTGTTTCAAAGAAATTAAATATTTGATTTTAGTCTTACAAGGTAATAGATAGAAAGTAATAAAAATTGACTACCCAATATTAAATCCAACTGAGCAATAAGATTATTATGAATGCAAGAAACATCTGCCAAATCTTGAATTCCTTTATTGTGACTCCAGAGTGTGCGTTTGATTGTGAGCTTGACGGTGAGCTTGATTGCGGTGAAGTCGTGTTGTTTTGAGAAAGGTTAGATGAGTCAGATGTTGAAGAGATCACATCAGTTGTAAAATTTTTGATAGGTTGAGTTAATTGATCATTGATGTATGAGGTGGAATTGAGTACACTGTTCAATTTGATTGGATTATCAAACGCTCCATTTGCGTTCTACAAAAACTGATGAGATTAGATACAATTTATCTATCAAGTTGATGGATATATATGAGCTACCAACCTGATACCATGGATGATCAAATAATGCAGGGATAGGCCGCTTGTCAACCCAAAAAAATGAATGACTCATCAACAAAGATCATGATCACAGAGAGCAGGTGGAAAATTTTGCTTACAGTATCCCAACCAGCTGCTTTGATAGTGGACCACGAATCAGAGAACCCTCCAACAGAATGTACGGTGATTTCATGCTCTAAGATAATCAAACCGGGAGATTTTGAACTTGCTGCAAAACCTTTGATTTCAGATGTGACTGCAGCTTGATTTGCTGGACCGGCGTTTCCACATGTGTTTGTGTTTTCAGATGTTACACACCAATCGTTGGTATCATGATTCCATATTACAGTTTTAAGACCGAATACGTTCTGTGAGGATTGAAACCCAAGTTGAATGTCAAAGAAAAGAATGTATATGAATGTGAAGCTCACCTTTGCAATCGCTCGAACTCTGTTATCTGTGTCGCCTGAAAAACCAACAGAGAAGTTTCACAGTGACCATTAGAGCTATACCACCTCAGGTTTATGCCTCATATTCATGACGCCCGGCGTACCATATGGTGGCCTCCAGTAAGCAGGCAATCGACCACCGCTGAAATCCTGAACACAATATCTCGTTACTCAACAGTCTAAGAATTGAAAAGTATCATGATTTCCAAAAGCTGGGTGACTAACAAAGATAATTTGTAAAGTCCATCCGATCTCACCAAGCACGGCGTGATCAGATAAAGTGGACATCAACGGATCTGATTTTTTTCATGGTCGAGTTAGTACTTCTTCACAAAATGAACCCTAAATAAATATAAGCAAATATACTGACGACTCCAAGTATGAACTGCAATATGATCTCCCTGTGTTAACGCGGCTTGGAAATCTTTTCGGTTTTCTAAAATCCTGCTTCCTATCAATTATGAGGAGACCCAAACAAAAAAGAAAGTAAGTTAACTTCGGATGAAATTACCGAGGAAAGTGATAAATGATAAAAACCCACCAATCATGAAGTGTGTGGCCGTTTGATTGACAGATTTGAGGAATTTCAAAAGCTTAACTGCTCCTCCTTGGGGCCCATCGTCACTGTCAAGAAATTAATTCATCAAGATATGATTCAGTAAGAATTCAAGTCGTGTTGTTTTCATGACAGAGGGAAATCACTAACAAACTTATTCCCATCATACCATCTGGAGCATCATTGATACTAAAAAGTGATTCCAGGAAGAAATATAAATAAATCTTTCAACATGCATGCTCAACTCTCATTATATTTCTATCTTTTCCTTAATTCTTCTTCTCTCAACTAGCTTATTATAATAAAAAAAACTCGATAAAAAAAGTATCTCAACTCATTAGGAGATTTACATCCCATCGTCCAGCTACAAACGTTTGGGTCTAAAGGATTCACGCCTGAAGGGTATTTAATCAATCCAGAGCCCAATTTGATGGAAGGTGGAATGTTAGGAATTCGACCGGCTGCTTTTTCTTGATCGTAAGCTGTGATCCATTCAGTCCTAGGCTTAGGTCCGATGACATCCATAGTTGGGTAATTAGTAGCCTGACGTCGGAAGAGACGTGGATCTGATTGATTCGTGAGCTTTAAGCATAAGAAGAACATTAGAGGAATGTGATGATATGACTTCATTCTAGCAAAGTTTAGCGTTCTTTTGCCGTAGAATTAGATGCAAGTTCTATGTGGAGTCAAAGTATGAGACGCTTTGCAATCAATGAAAAATAACTTGAAAGGTTTATAATCTCTTATAAATTCGACAAACTTCACTAGCATCCGATTTTCCAATGTGTGTTATTTAGAGTAAAACAAGCGGTTCATGTTGCTTTGAAGATCTTAGACTTCCCAAGGCCACCATATGATAGATGAGAATCCATTTGTACCAGCCGAGTGAATTTTCCAAGTTGCTGGCGGGCGGCAAGTCGAAAAATCAGAGATGAAAAGGTTTTACATCAAGCTCATAATGATAGACACATGAGATGAAAGTCACAAGAACTCTATCATTAAGTAAATGAACTTATAGTCCAGTCTGAGATGACATTCCATACATTTAATGATGATGTTCATCAAAAAGATACATCACATCATGGATGAAATGTTCTAGCCGAACGATGGACCGCTTCGAGAGAATTCTTGCACAATGACGCATGAGTATCAATTTGCTTCAACTTTTAAACTTCAACTGCAAAAGTCAATGAAGATGACGTGGAAGATGAACGCACTATCTGGATCGAAGTAAACAAATCATGCATGAACGCAGTAAACCTTCCTCATAATCGAATCCTCCTGCATCATCAAGCTCGAAGGTGTAAGCTGATTGCATAAACAAACCAGTGACTAGGAAAGTAGGAAGCGTATGTTGCAGATCTTCCATGATTATGAAAGTCTGATAAGAAGCTTCGGGTTCTGTCATTCTTCTCAATTCACGTGGGTTGATCTCTCAAGGATCAAGTAACGCCATTTGGCAATAGCACAAGAACGTAAAGAGAGCTTTGATAAAGATTGGAAAGATCATGGCCATCATTTGAAGGTTGGGGATATGTACCGCTTTAAGAGAATCATCTGCAAAGTGGTGCCTAAATTGACGATGAGAAAAACATATAACAAGTTTCGAGAAACTGAACACGGGCAGTAGGAATGTTCAACAGCAGGAGGGGTTATGATAGCTTGAGAGCTAAAGCCTCAAGTGCGAGCTCAATCAACCTCGAAGCCAGCAACAACTCACTTTGAACTCAAGGTCTGGTTTCATTGGCCAGTACACGTACTATCGCTCTTTCTACAAAGCTCATTTGAGTGGTGTATTATTCAAGGTTCTTTGCCGCTCCGTATCATTCTGGGCAGACTCAGAGTCTTTGTTGTATTGTTTTATTGAAATGAAAAATGCAACAGTTCATTGCACATTTTCCTCTTCCTAGCTTGGTCCAAAATAACCTGTATAGTCTATGCATACTTTCATAACGAAGCTTATTCTATGCTTTTGATTTTGATTCAAACAAGACACATTTTATCATGACGCAATCACGCCAAAAAAGAAACAGTCATAAAATCTCAAAACTAATAAATGAAGTTAAATGAGGTGAAAAAAGTAAAAGAAACTCTTAGTTAAATCAGGATGCCTCAAGATAGAGATGAGTAAGAAGATAGACAGAAAAACGCAATGTGAACTCTTGCCCCTCAATGCCCACTTCTTCCTACAGCCCAACCAGTTCCTCCCCCAAGACTTGGTAAATTCATTTTATCACCATCATCTCCATTCGGTTTAGGTAAGAATCCAACTCGAACAAGCCAAGCCAGATAAATTCCGATCCTTTCAGCATTCACTGTCATTCGATTTTCATCTCCATCATCATTTTTAATCAATTGAACTGTATTTGAATCATCTAGTTCTGCTGATTTCGTACTTGTTGGTAAATCGTTCAAAACAAAATGTAAAAGTGGGAATAATGCATTATCTTCAGGTCCACTATCCATCACTGATTGTTCTAATTTAATTCGCCATGTAAGATAATCTTCCTTAATCACATTATATCCGTAAACTTTCAAAGTTTCGAGGAATTCATTCATACGTGGTAAGGGACGTGCAGTGAGATGAAAGACTTTTAGATCATTCGGATTTCGAGTTGATGCTAACATTGTCAATCGTGCTACCTCATTAACTGGGAGCATATTAACCGTATTGTGAATATCGGGGATGGCTCCGATTTGTACGCATCCTTTCACCAACCTCCAAAGGAAATCGTCAGTGTTAGTCACACCTGTGTTCGAATCTCCAACGATATATGCCGGTCTGATAATTGATCCACATAAACCTCGACGTCCAGCTTCCATCACGAGTCGTTCGGAGACCCATTTGGTTTGACCGTAACCAGTGGTGAGGCCGGTAGCACTAGCTTCAAGGTCGTCTGTCTCTGGTATTCCTCGTCCTCCACGTTGTACTAGTACATCAGAAAGGTCCACGTAGTGAGATTTTTCGAGAACGGCCGTACTTGAGACAAACGTCATTGCTTTTGATTTACCAATCGCCATGAATTCAATCAAGCTCAAGGTAGCCATGACATTAGCAGATCTAAGCTTTGAATAAGGATAAACCCAATGTACCAATGCACCATTATGGACCACTAGATCGACTCGTTCACTTAATTCCTTCCATAAATCATCATTTAATCCGATTTGACGGGATTCAAGATCCCCAAGAACAATCTCAACTCGACCATTCGCCATCCAACTCTCATCCCAAAATCCTCGACTCTCGCAGCTTTCACGTAATCGAACCAAACCTGCTTCTTTTGATTTAGCTCTTAAATGACAGATCACTTTTCCAATCTGATTTGGACAGCTCAAGAGTTCCCGAAGTATGAACGCTCCTAGAAATCCTGTAACACCGGTAAGCAATACGGTCTTGGGTGTTTCATCGGTCCATTGAGGTTTTGAATAGCGAGGTTTCAAAGTCTTCATCAACATCCTTGAATCAGCTGCATAATCAAATGTGGCCACATCTGATGTTGCCTTTGATTCTTCGCCTGTCTTCTCTTCATCATCCTTAGCTAGACCAAAATCCGTGTTCTTCAAGAGATCGAGTTGATGAGCCAAAGCACCAATGGTAGGGTTTTCGAAAACGAGACCAAGTGGAGCATTGATAGCCATCATCTTTCTAATCTCAAATACTAATCTAGTAGCCAAAATTGAATGACCACCTAGATCAAAGAAACTTTCATCAATTGGAATGATTGAATTTGAGTAAAGATTGTTAGGTAATAAGGTTTGCCAGATTGATTGAATGGTAGATTGAGTTTGAGTGAGTTCAGTAGTTGAAGTGGATTTTTTCGAATTTTTGACTTGTGATGCGGTAAGATACTTGGCTGTATCTGGGAATGGTAGAGCTGGTTTATCAATCTTTCCATTCGGATTGAGTGGCATACGAACCAGTGGTACGAAAACTAAACAAGCAAAAAGATATAAGAGATATCAATGTCTACATTTCAGTCATAAATTTGAGCCAGATAAAGAACTACTGACGTGTTGGGATACTATAAGTAGGTAACTTAGTTTTAAGATACTCTCGAATATCTTTAATCAATTTTCGATACTTTCGAATTCCTTTCTCAAGTTCACTAACATCTTCTTCTTCTTCTTCCTCGACTTCACTTCCGCTAATTAGTTCATTCTCTTGACCTTTCATCGGTACAAAGTAACTGACCAAGATCTTTTCTTCATCTTTGTCTCTTCTTACCAACGTTACATTTTCTCGAATGGCTGGATGTTGTGAAAGGTGTGTATCAATCTCTCCTAATTCGATCCTGAAACCTCTAATCTTGATCTGATCATCTAATCTACCCACACACTCTACAGTACCATCAGGGAGATACCTTCCCAGGTCACCTGTTTTATAGACCCGATCTCGAACCCCAAGCCACTTGCCTTCGATTTGATTCGATTTAGCATCGGTCCCGATGGCTCCATTGCTGGTAAACCAGTTCGGCATAAACTTCTCAGCTGAGACCTCCGCTGGACCCAAATAACCCTCTGCCAACCCACTCGACCGCACATAGATCTCACCCAATTCTCCAACCCCACACTGTAAGTTTTTTTCGAACCGATTCACAACAAGTAATTGAACATCCTTCATACCTCGACCAGCAGGGATGATATCCTTTTTAGTATCAAGGTAAATTGAATCTTGAGAGATAGGTGGAATAGGACAATACGATACAGCTCTCTGAGTCTCAGTTGTACCGAACATATTGATGATTTGAACATTGGGTGCAAGTTGTTGAAGTCGTGTACAATCTCGTTTAGTAAGAATATCACCCACAAAGAAAGCATTTGATAAAGAGGGTATAATCCTAGTAGCTTGTGCTGATAGAAGTTGTCCCATAGCTGGGGTAAGATGAGTAACAGTGATTTGAGTATCATCCATCCATTCAGCAAGTCGGCCAGGTGTACCAATATCTTCAGCCGTAGGAATATGCAATTCGGCTCCGAGAAAGAGTGGGGTAAAGATATCACGTTGGATTGGATCATGTGCAATACCACTTAGCATGGTGAACTTGCTATTACTATCTAACTTGAACTCGGTAGCCATCCAAGGGAAAAAATGAGTAAGACTGAAATGTCTGCCCTTAACACCTTTAGGAATACCAGTGGATCCAGAGGTAAAAGAAAGTGTTCCAACTGAGTCCGGACCTAGTGAAACATCCGGTGCTGAGTCTGATGTTGATTGTACAGGTGCAAGTAGGTCTTCTCCCGAGGCTGAAACACCTCCTAACAAGTGACCATCATCTTGCAGAGCTAAAGCAGGTATAGTTAATTTGATATCAAGCTCTTCATCAATATATGCCTGTACCTCTTGAGATAATTTACCGGCGCGCTCTAGGACTATCAAACCACGAGGACGAGAGACTTGTAGGTAGATCTTTTGACGCTGATTTGGATAAGCTGGGTCGATCACGCTGAATGTAGCGCCAGCTTTGAGGATACCAACGATGGCAACTACCAAGTCCACACCACGGGTTGAGTATATGGTCACTACATCCTCCGGCTCAATGCCACCTGCCAGTAACTGGTGAGCAAGAATGTTGGATGCCTGATCGATCTGCCGATAATTGAATGTCCGTAGACGATTTTGGGGTGGTTGTGATAGGTCACCAGCAGTTTGACTGATGAGATGCTCTGATACACAGAGCTTTTCAGGGTGTCGTTGAGCGTTGGCAGAAAAGATCCGAGTAATGGGACCGGGCCAAGTTGTCCAATTGAGATCCTGGCGTGGATCAGGAAGGAGTGAGAGCTGGGAAGGAGTCAAAAAAGGAATGGTGGACAATTTTGCACTTGGCCGCATCGAGGCTTGAATCAACAGCTGCGAAAGCTGATCAATCATGAGGTGAATCCGAGTTGATGTGAACAAGAGCGAGTTGTATAAAAAGGTCAGCGATATTGGTCGAGGGAACATAGGTTCATGTGAGGACACCAGAGGAGTTGATGGGACAGAAGACTTGACGATGATCGTCAGGTCGGTCGTCATTGAGGTGGAGTTGATGAAGTGAGATTCGGTCTGGTCCATTGCATCCAAGAAGCGAACGCGGAAGAGCGGGGTATAGGGAGAGTCACGGGTATCATTTTCGCGCTGGCCAACGGTTTGTAGCAGCGTTTCAAAAGGAACATGATCGGCCTCCGCTTCTCTAAGTTTGGTCAGGATATTTAATAGAAAACACGTTAGTCATCCGAACGAGGGACACACGAAAAGTCATGACATCCACCAAAGGCAAAACAAATTGGCAAACTTTTCAAGTTGTTCTATTCCTCGAACGAGTCCCCAAAAAGATCGTTCTGGCGGGAGTTCAGCCCGCAGAAGCAATGGATCTGGGTGATCAGCGGATCGGCTCGAAGTAGCGACAACTATATCTGTCTCTCCCGTATATCGATGAAGCAAGGCCAGGAAGGTGGCCAAGAGGATATGAAATGGGCTTGGCGGGTTGGGTCTCTCGGAACTAGAGTTTGGATCGGGACTGCCATCTTCATGAAGTGATAGTCGAGCAAGGGCAAGACTGGCGCGATGGTTGAGATTGACGTCAATAGAAGCTTCAACCACTTTTTTACTCGCCGAATGAGATGGACGCGGGTAGTCCGTAGGTAAGGCGATTGACGGGAGCGAGCTCAGCCTACGAGCAATTCTAGCGAGAGTGTGATCTGACATTTAGGCCAATGACCAGGGTATAAGGTGAAGCTGAGATGCGAAGTGAATAAAAGAGCAAGAAATCAGTCTGTGTTCCTTTATCATACTCCATGATGAGACTCGGAAGAGAGAAGAAGACTTACGATGAGTTCGGTTGAAATGATGAAGGAATCCAATTTGGCTTGCAACAAGAAAATGTTTTTAACCGATTCGGGAAGCCGACCGTATGAATTCTCAACTGCGGTTACATGAAGCACACACATGTAAGCACATACAACAGCATAAACCCATCCTCAACATCATTACAGATATTTGTACTCCATCCAGACTTGTGGGAAGGCATCTAACCAGGGGATGTGTCTTGTCCCTTGGAATCATGTTCATATCTTCAAGCAAGCTCTATACACCCAACCCTCAACCGGGACATTTTATGTAATGATCAGATTAAACCCCCAGCTTGCCTGACTGCACAAGCTTGCAAACTGCACAATCTTGCAATTGTGTGATTTCAGTGAATCACATCCTGTGAGCTGGCGAGGATGGTATCATAGGCTGTAGGAGCCTCCAGGAGCTTATATGGAGTTCTCGACTGATCAGGAGAGAGGATATTGCAGTAAACCTTGAGTAATATCATGCTCCCAAATGGAACAAGTGTATCAATGGAAACTATATTGATTTCAAGGCAAAATTGTTAGATTTATGTGGGCCTGATTTTTTCTTGTATTTAAGTGAAAAGTCCAAATCATGAGGATGACATTTGAGATGGAATTGAATCATCAATTATGCAATTCAGAGACAAGATAAAAGTACATTCTGGACAAAAGATTGGGTTTATAGTTATAGGTCAGCTGTTATTTACACAGATTGGAATGTGAACTCTTTAGTTCATAATGACATACATATAATTCTTGGATTTATTGTTGCTACCAATCTTGCTCTTTCAATTATAGTGTTTGTGTCTGTTATTTTGGGTTGATTGCCTGTTCTTGTGTTTGGCCTTTAGCTAGCTGCTAGCCACCCCAATATAGGAGGATGGGTATGATTTGAAGAGCCCAGTCACTTCAATCTGATGTAATTTTGATATCTGTAGGATGTTGATCATATCCCCACAAAAAAACTGGTGTGAATAGCACCTAGACTTTGGTCCACACTGCTAGCCTTAGGGTATGCTGATATTATTTGGGGGCTGTTAAACTGAGCTTACAGCGCCAATACTGGCTTTGTGTTATAGGATGGGCCACATAGTAGATCTGGGATTTGTACAATTGGTGCAGGAGGCTTTCTGAAACTTGGAGTAGTGTAAAAAGTTGAAATAGTGCATGGGAAAGGTATGTGAGTCAGACAAGATATGATTGATTTTGAACATGTATTTCAATGACCTTGACAACACATGTGCATATAAGTACTGTTGTCACAGTCTATCCAAGTCCTAAGAAAGTCTTTGAATTCTGCTCTGTTTTCTGCTCCCCTAACACTACCAGTACTAATCTCCCTACTTTCTCTTTGTCATTCCTTTATTTATGAGAGCAATCTCCCTGAAGTTTTCTCTCCTAAAGGTCTGAAAAAAATTGAAAATGGATCAGTGGGGGGATTGGTAGTGATGTCTCTTTTAAGAGTAATTTTGCCTTGAAGAAAGACAGAAGATCTTTTTCAAAGATAAAAATCACTTCTGCATTTTTTTGACCTCATTTTGTTTCAGGGATGGATTGTGGAACAGATAATTTACAGTGTGTATTCTTTTGACCATAATTCAAAGATCAGAGGATGTCCAGCAAATGATTTCATATCAATGGTATTCCTTTTTCCAAGACCTATCTCAAGCTTTTCAGAGGCCATACAAAGGCCATGTTGAAAGGTGAATTACAGTCAAAATCCCTGAAGCCAGACCCTTATTCAGAGACCCTGTGCTATAGAATTATAGGGCTTTGGTATGATTATGTATTTGCTAGAAAAATCCTCCAATAACATAGATGTATGGCCTTTTTGAAAACACCCTCCAAGGCCATGAATTGTATGGCTCTTTTGAAAAAACTTTTGAATACCATGTCTATGTGGGTTTTGAAACCTCCATTTAAGCTATAATGATTATGGCTCTAAAGGGCAATGCACCCTTAAGCAAACCAATCATTCAACCTTGATGTGCAGCTCAGGCCAAAAGTGTGGTTCTAGTGGGGATAAAAACAGTGTTTTCTGACCTTTTTGTTATGGATCAAGAGGATAGGGGGTTCAATGCAAATTTTGCCCTGTACCACAAATATGGAAGCCATACCCTATGACTTTGGAGGGTTCTTGCATTTAGCAAGCTATGTGTTTGGAGAGTCTTGACTGTAGCTTCCCCTTCTGAGCTCCCGTGGACATCCACATCTATACCTTGCTACAATCCTTTGAGTGTGCTATCCAGTATAAGTTACTACTATTGACATGCTGTGGCAGATAAGCTGTTAAGTACATGGGACAGGGATCTTTCCTGTGATACAAGTTCAAAGCGGACTCATAAATTTGTCCCCAGCCTATCTTTTAGAGAACCAGGCTTTATAATGGGATAGCACAATAGGTCAAGATGTGAAAGAAACTGTTTTTAATATTGCATCACTTTGTTGGGAGCCCTTTCTGCCACGTGCTTTCTGCTCACCTTGCAATCAGGTTTTTTTGTTATGTAGTTGTGTATTCAAGTTTTTCATATCCTGTGCCTCAAAATGCTGAGGCACTTGAGACCTGGAATCCATTGTTGATCTGGAAGCAGGCAACTACAGACTTCAACCCTTTTTGGAGCCATTGGTCTCTAATTTACATGTCACCAGTTTCTAGCAGACTCAAAACAACTTTCAAAGTATGGTGATGTTCAGTCACTGGGTCTGATATGAATCTGAGACTCCTTATTGTATAAACTCAAAGGGGTGCCTCTCTGCATAAGTTCCTTGGAAACTCCTGTTATGCCTATTGTGGCAAAGGTCTTGAATTTAAGACATGTTTTTACTTTTAGCACAATTGTCTTACAAAGACAAAACAAAGAAGGTGTTTTTGCACATGTGGAATGGATATAATACCATATGTGACTATTTTTTGGATGTATCTAAATGTCTGTATGAGATTGGAAGCACGGATCTAAGAAATTGATAGATAAGATAACAGAGACTGTAATCTCATTAACCCCTGAACAGTTGAGGATCATGAGATATCAGAATTGATTCTTGCGTTGATGATTCAGAGGAGTGATTAAGACGTAAGTAAAAAATAAGAAGACTCGAGAAAAAACATATCCAAAACTTGAATTACTTAGAAAACTCAGAGAGGCATGTGTCAACAGGCCAGATATTTTTCCTTTCTTGATATATTTTGAATTGTCTTCTTGCTTGAACATTCAAGATGAGTAGAATTCTGTGAGAATAAGATTTCGTGGAGTTGATGATGAACAACATAATCTTGTCAGAAAAGGTCCCAGGAGAGTTGAACAAAGACTTAGAAAACCCTTACACATTTCCGCTGATGGCAAAAGGACCATGCATCCCCTAGTAAGTTGGAGATTTTGTTTAGCATAATGCTCCCATGTGGTAGTTCACTCTAACCTCACTCACAATCTGCAAACCTAATAGCCAATTCTTGTCTTGTACAAAATTGAGACCTGGGTATGATAACTGGACGTATCATCAGCCACACTCATATCATGATACGCATTTGGGAATACTTACTGCCCAGGCCAACGTAGGAATGAACATCATCGTGCTGAAATATGCCGCAAAAGCATAGGCCACCAGAGAGACATGTTCCTGTTTTAGTCGTTTATGAATCTTGACAAGCTCGGCCGCTTCTGGATCATCAGTGTTGGGGAATGAGTGGAAAAGATCCTCGGTGCGCCGACGTATGTCTCTCAAGGTGACCAACAGCAAAGGTAAATACAGCTATCATAAGATCGCGTTTACATCAGTGTTCCGTTTCTAACGGCGTTGTAGATAGCCAATTTCCATAAAACGTTCACTCACAGAGGCCAACAGGCATAGATCAATTAGCCCAGTCGTAAGCACAATCCGCGAATGTACGCCAATATCATTCTGTGGCCATTACCCGGTGGGTTTTAGTAAGCTTCATTTCGATCCACGGGTCGTAATCAGAGTTTCTCTGGCTTACTCTGAGTGGCGCTAACGCCTTTGCGGGATTCAAGATGTTCAGCAACTGCACTGGACTATATGAGGTCGAATTGTAGTTCGGCGCCGTGCTTTCCAATGTATCTGCTACAGCTTCACAGATCCGTTTGATTTCCTTGAAGTCTCGATTCACTTTGTCCATACCCCAGACGAAGATGGCTTTGAGCGAACGTGATAACTGAAGGTCAGCGCGGTTGTCGTGAGTGATCATGGAAAAATAAACGCGAGTTGAATTACGGACGTATTGGTACCAATGATGCCGCCAGAAATGAAATATTCAAGCCCCATCGAACAGCTGAGGGAAAGTTGAGTCGACGTCGTGATTGAACATCTTCAGACCACGAGTATGACTCCGCGTATCTGCCGGTGTACTGACAAATGCATACCCACAAGAAAGCTACACCAAACAGGTAAGAAAAAGTATGGCATTTGTGTGCATATGGTATCGCGACATCAGGGTTCACGTACACCTGTAGAGGGAAACGTTGAGCTTCTTTGTTTTTGTAATCCTTGAATATCCAAGAAATACCCTTACCAAGAACAAGAAAGTATCACCAAGAATTTGCATGCAAACAGTGGTGCTTTGTTGACCATGTCATGCTCACCCATCTCTACTCGAAATTCTAGAGCTAGATCGGCAACGGCCACTTCAAAAAGGACTCAATGAGCTTGCGTGTTCCTTTCAGATGTTGGGATGTGTGGATAAACTACTCACGGGGGCAATAAAGGAAGAATACAACCCCGGTCGTAGACGGCATGTCGATGCGAATAAGCCCCACTGAAGACAAAGGAATGGTCATTATCGATCTTCATCAGAAGTGTAACCGATACCAACTGACGCAGTGTTAGTTGGAACAGCTTGAAGGCTTTTGACCTCACTCTCATGTAGAGCAGATGCAGACACTGTAGATACATCCTGAGGTCCGAACAACGCATATCAGCAGATCAGCACATTCTCGACATCTCGCAGGCGGTGACCTACAAAACATATCCCACAATGAAGCATAGCAGCATAGGCCCGGACCATGCGACCATTCGTGGCGGCTTGAATAGACAAGAGGATCTGATTTCAGCGTACGCTATACGCTGCGTGGAGGTAACATTCAGATTGATTAATCCACAAAGCTGACCTTGCAGAGTTTTTTCAACTGGGTTGCCGCTGCCACGAATGGATTTTCCGACCGAGGAAGAATCAGCACCATCGTCATGAAATTCAACTCTTCTTGCGAAATCATCGTCTTAGGCTATCTCAAGGTCGTATGTTTGGCGGATTCTAGCAATGAACGGCGGCATAAACGGAGTTGTAGGGAGTTGTTGATCAAATAAGTATCTTCCTCTGTCGTCAGTGAGTTCGTCCAAGCAGACGTTAATTTAAGAATTCAATCTGGCAATCCAGATTCCACATCTCGTAGTACGTACCACGAGTCAACAATCAATCGAAGCGCAACTCAATCATATACATTGACAAGATCCCACGCCCGCCGGCAAGGCATCTGCTTTTGAAGTGCTTTTGATTCGATATCATGAAATCCTAAGTGGGACTTTGATGAGTTTAATGAAATCCGGGCCGTGCCCGGTATGGGCAGACAGGGGCAGACTCGCTGGATAGCACCGGCTCAGCATCCACAAAGTATGAATTGCATACCTATAATGGACAGACTCGCTGGATTCCACCGGCTCAAGCATCCACAAGGAACGATGAGGATGCAGCCGGGTGCGAGTGGAAATCTGCCTATGTAGTCTAAGCTGCGCGCCGCGCTTGTGCCATGTCGTGGGATATAGGACTGAAACCCGACCCCAGCAGACTCTGCCCGATCTACCCGACGCGCTCTTGGAAAGAGGCAGTGGCATTTTTTTGTGTTGAAGAAAATCTCGACTTTGAGACCAGTCCCACATCCAGTGGTGAGCACAGAGTAGCCTTCATCTCTATACCTCAAATATGTACATATATGCATCTCAAGTTGTCAGGTTCCGACTGAAGATTTATGTCTTCAGCGGTGCAAATTTTATCAACCAGGCCCGGCTCCAGATCCCGAAAGACTGATCGAACTTCATCTGACTTCATATATATGCAGTTTGTCCACGTCAGAAATCAAGAAAGGTTTGGAGCGTAATATTTTAAAAGTGTAATATATGTAGGTGCATGATTCATGATAGATACATGACTATCCTGCCAATCGGAGAGTACTGAAGAAACTAATGCTCTCAATGTGTAGATACACCCTCCATGTAGAATATGTATAATGACATCAATTTATTTGCTGGACTCGACCACTTTTCTGCGAGTTCTTTGGACGAGAACAATTGTTCAGGCTGAGAAATTCGATGTGGTTAAAGCTGAAATTGGGAGATCAACAGCAAGAAGCGACAATGAATATCTGCTGTATGGCATATAATCTGAACAGAACTCTCGTTAGCATATATCAAGTCCCGGATAATCATATCTGTTTCTTCGCCGATTGAATCCACTCCCTTTGTATTGTTGACAGATTTTCTTGAGCAGCCCTTATCATGAATCTTAGGTGTAGTGATCACTCTCGATGTAGCATATTGAGAAAATTTTTCCTTTTGATCCTCTACTAGTTTTGACGTTTGAGTGTTGCAGAATAAGATGACCAACACTGATGATGGGCTGGATGCGTCATTGTGACTGAAAGATAATGCGCTTATGTTCGGTCTTTCTGTTTCCAGAGCTCTCGTGATTTCCTTGGAATCTTCATCAATGTTTTGGGAGTAAGGTACAAGGGTGACCGTCTTGCGTTTCTGGAAATATGAAGCCCTCCCAGGTCTGGCCAGCCACAACCTGTGCGCAGGCAAGTCTAAACTGTCACTAGATTGCATCAGCCATACCATATGAAGTATCTGTGCTCTTATTCTGTTGTTTGGTCTCCAAACCCTCTTGATCTCTTCGAAGACCATTTCATCTGACCACCAGCTTCCTGTAGGGGTGATTGTCGGTATTCTTTCATTTGATCGATTATCAAAGATAATGAACTTCTCTTCCATGGAGATATTTTTGATACTCATCCCTTTAGTGAAGATCTTGTCCAAGTCTATGGTACTGATTCAAATCACGAATGTGGTCAGTTCTTGAATGGCCACAATTTACATTCAAATGTCAAAACAACTGATGAGTGAACAAAGTGGCACACCTGTCTGCGATAATATGTGGCTCTGATTCCCATCCGTCATCTCCCATAATCACTTTGTGTATGAGGCTTGATTTCTCTGTTGTCTCGCATTCAGCTTCTGGCATTTCAAAGTAGTCCTGGAGATCCCAACAATAAGTTTCGAGCATCTCGCATAATCAATTTTCGAGGAGCAACTTACACTTAAGCGTCCGTACTTCCATCTTGAGTCATCTATGAGTACTCTATAGTTCAATCTTCTGGCCAACGCAGCTGCTCGTGCCTGATCTCACAATATATCAAGTCAGTCAAAAAAGCTTATCTATGTGATTTATATGCTTACGTATTGTGTCAAGTCAGAGATAACTGAATTCCCTTCCCCAAATTGAAAAGTGAGTGTTCTTCTGCAGGCAGCTTGCCTGGATGGCCCAGGGTAAGGGCACGAGATCGTATCGTGCGGGGCAAGCGGATACAAAAAAGAGCTTATCATGCTAAGGAGGCATAGAGAATGTGTCAACCTTGGATACCAGGATGTAATGCTTCTTTTCCGAACTCACTCGATAGGATGAGGGGTTATGTTCCAAGATACTGACAACCATAAGAACGTCGCAAACAAAGCAAAGATATACCATTTCACAACTTGCTTGACCTAGTCATGTAAAGCCGTTAGCTCAGAAATTTATAAAGTTTACAAATGCACTTACGCGAGTTTTGAGAAGCATCAAATCGGCTTCCAGGGCAGATCCACGTGGAATATCAAGTTCTGGCCATGACATTGTGAGTATCCAGCAGAAGTAAAGACTCAAGGTGTGGTATCAGATTTTGAGAAAGTTCACGACACGGTGTCGCCTGAAAAGAATGACTTTCAACGAGTGGCGTGGAACGATAGTTGCGAGTTTTTTCGACAAGCTCCAATCATATCATTTATATTTGATTTCACGGGACACATGGAAATATCATTGAGGGGAAAATCTTGTCTGTATCTCAAACCAGGTTTCGCGCAGACCTGAGACGAAAATCTCAATGTGCACAAGAGCTCTCGATCCGGATTGACTGAAAGATTCATTTTACATAGTTTGCTGGTCGAGCTTGATGACTGCGTCGCACAAGCTGAGACTGATTGATATCATGAGCGACATCTTGTCTTGGGAAGCGGAAGTTCCGGCAGTCGAAGCCTTCGGACTGAGAGTATTATGTGGTTTTTCTATCAAGCTCTGAGAGACTGCGACTAGTCTATGTCAGAGTTTGAGTGGGATCTCGTTTCAGTGAGAATGGACCTCAGGGACTGCAGCGAAGTCTGACCCGAAGAAACACCTTTTGCGTATTGGCTTCACAATGCGGGGTCTTGTGGTCTTGTTTTTGAGAAACTTGACTTAAAGCTTATCCTGCAGACTGAGAGAACGTTTGCTTCTGTCGGAGAAAAGCCACATATGTGGTCTCCAGATTCATCTTGTTAGGCACGCCATGCACAGAATGCCCATTCCGAACAAAGACAAAATAAACCAGTTGATGTAAAGGATGTTACCTCACCTGGCTTTCTTATCAGCAATTTTGCACTGAAGCGGCCAATTCTTGTATTGGTTTTGTACTTTTAATTTGAATCCCCTTTGGTTTATAGCTTCATCTATCTCACCAGAATTTTGATATGCTCAGGTGGATATGGTTCAGTTCTAACTATGATGAGATAGAGGGCTAGGAGAATTTGAAGTTCCGCAAACCGTCTCATGGAATGAACGATTTTCTAAAAAAAAACTGGAACTACACGTCTACTACAATAAAGGCTCAGAAGAAGACCAAGAACTAAAAGGAAAATCAAAAAATGATGATGTTGGTGAATGCAATTTCTCAACTTGCACACCTTCACAAATATCTTGAATAGATTTTTTTATAATTACAATCTGTTGCATGTTATTCAATGATCTTTCTTTTCCTTGGTTTCTTTTGGTGGTACAGTTGGTAATCTTGAAGCTGCAGTAGATAAGAGAGCTGATTCATAAACAAAACCAGAACAAATGGCATTCAATTTCCATCGGATTGCAAGATCTGATTCTAACTTGACCAAAATAAGTCTACTCACATTTTGAAAATTCATAGCAAAGGGGTGAGATACCTATCATCTGTGGCGCATAAGGGACAGGTGGGGCTGCAGCACTGAATCCTTCCATAGGACTGTAGATTGTATTTTGGTATCCTGAACCTATAGATTAGATCAACAAGATTATTGAGGTAACGTCCAACGATAATATCGGTCAGCTGAAAAAAGTATAAAGATTTACGGTTACCTTCGAAGTGAGGGTGGCCATAAGAGGAAGAAGGTTGGGGTACATATGTTCCGAATCCCAGCCTATCACCAGTCGAAGATCCAGCTGAGTTATCAAAAAGGGGCAATACTCAATCATTCAATCTCAAGTTTCGTAAATCAGTATAGTTGGAACCTGATATGACGAAGTCTACGTACCCTGGAAATTGGTACTGACGAACGGAAAACCTCCATGTGCTGGAACGTTCAAAAAGTCATTCCTTGAAGCTGATCCTTGGGGCCTGAGCGGGTCTGAAAGAGGTATCAGATGGATATCAATTGCTCGAAGCAGATACGTATATCTTGCAAAGTGTCAAAAAAGACTAACTTCCGCTATTCAATTGAAAGGACAAATCAGAAGGCAGCGTTTCGCTCATTTGAGTATTATCGGGGAATTGTCGAGCTGCATTGTAAAAACCTATCAACATTCACTCAGTTCTTTTCGATTTATAAGTTACAAATTATATAGTTCTGATAGTGAAAAACATACCATTGCTCGAAGCTGATCCTTCGGTCCAGAGCGGGTGTGAAGGAGGGATCAGATGAATATCATCGCTCAAAGTACATACATGTATCTTGCGAGGGGTCAAATAAAACTTACTGCTGCTATTCCATTGCGAGTTAAAATTCGAAGGTACACTCATTTGGATATTATTATTGGTGAATTGCCCAGCTGGACGCGTGAAAAAGCAATCAGCCTCCGCACATTTTCTTCTCGATTTATAGGTTACAAATCATATTGATAATAAAAAACTTTACACACGTCCGAAAACATGGCTATTGACATGAATGAAGTTTGACCCTAGGGGCGGCGGAACATGAGGACTCCGGCTTGCGAGATTGGGTTGGCTCATGCTGGGCCGCTCAATACCCATGAAGTTCCCACCCACTAAAAAATAACCGAATCAGCTTTCTCCCCAGTATAGGGTGATATTGGAGACAAAGTGAAAAGCCGTGTACAACTCTTATCCAACGGCACGCTCTTTGAAGTTGAGGCCTGAGGTGCTGTCTGTTTCCTTGCATGATCGATAGGCACTGAAGCTGACCCATTTAAAACAAACAAACTTCTGAGCAGTTCGAGCACGGGTCACGGTAGATACATTCTCAGATAATATTGCAAAAGCTTTTACATACCTCGGAGGGGACATCCCGGGGGCGGTGTCAATGTCACGTGTGCTGAAGGAAGCGGAGTGAGAGGGCAATTCTGGCAAGCTGGCAAGCTCTGATTCTGTGTGCTTTGCCTTCCAGCAACCATTGAAGCTACATAGGTTACAAAAATATTAGATCAGTGCTGTTTCTTACGGTGATGAGATAAATGCGTAGTTGAGATGAAAAATCTAAAAATCGTCTTCCAAACATCTCGATGCTAAAGGAACTTATGTGATGTGATAGTTGATGAATACATGCGAGAGGCTGAGCTTCACCTTTTCTCTGTTCCGCGACCGAGGGTGCCCGAGGAAGTGGTGTCCTGTATGTAGGGTGATCAAGCCTCAAATGCATCGCTGGGACAAAACTTGCATGATTTGGAAGTTGACCATCTGTGTCTGCGTCACAAAAGAAGGTCAAGAGATGAACCATTTTAACACGAGTTGAAAGGTATCATCGCCAACTTTGATGTTGTGGCCCTGCAGGTACCTTGCGGTTTGACTGTTTAGTATCTCTTGCAGATGAAGTTGTGACCCCTGTGATAAAATCAGACATAGAAGGTGCGGTCAGATGGGTTACCTCAACATCTTGGGTGGTGTTCGTTGAGCTCCGGGATCATCTGGATACATACCTCGAGCGCCCGGATTCATGGGGTTGCTGCGCGCTGAGAGCCAAGAAAAGCAAAACCGACGATTCACAAAAGATGATCTTCACTGTGCCTTTGTTTGAAGGAGAGACTAGACCCACGTGGTTTCTGGATTTCAGTTCTGCTCACTACAATAAGCAGACCAGTAGGTATTCAATGCAGAAGACAGTAAAACGTTAGATTTGTATGATTAACCTGGCGGAAAAGCAATCGGGAAGACATAATATCTCTGGGACTCTGGTACATACCGGAGGCTGAGCGACTTTTCCCCCGTTGCATACATTCTTCATTGGTCTCTGGATTTATCTGTTCTCGAGGCGGTTCACCATATGGAGAAGTTCTACCAGAAACTACGTTTTCCGTTCAGCACATGAGAGTCAATAAGAGTACTACTATATGGAAGAGATACAAATAACAAAGATAGAAATAATTGACATACAAGAACTTCGTTTGTTTGATCGATCAGCAGGCATTTTGAAAGTGATTTTTTGTAATTGAATAAGAAAAAAGGTTAAAGATTGGATGATGTTCAGGATTTCAATATCAGTCTATCAGTCTATTTTATCTGGATGATGGAGGATGGGGGAGATGGGAATAGATCTGATATTTATAAGGGCAAAATTCTTACTTATCCAAAGCTTAGTGACTCAACTTTGATGTCTGGTGACCCCTTCCTTAGCTTTCTAGGATCTATAAGCGTTGATAACGGAGGTCGAACCCCGCAGCCATTTCAGCTTATGTTTGCTTTCATTCTGCTGATGACGCCGACAAGAGCCTTTCAGAAGGTCAATTTCTTTATCATCACAACAAATCGCCCGTTCTATCTCACATGATCATCGATAGGAAGCTAAGGAATTAAGCTTATATATCACCTTGAGTCCTTTGTTCAATTTGGTCAGGATCGAGTAATTTTGCTGATAGATTTTGGCAAGGGTTTGTCAAGAACTAAGGATTTTCATGACCTCATATGAAGGTGTGCGAGTTCTGAATCCATGTGCCCCAGTAAGTTGAAGAATGAGGTTACTCATATGATCTTGAACTTTGATAGGAGAGGTCCTCCAAAAAGTTGAGCCTGAGAAGCCAAGCTTTCCGGGATCGACTTGTACATGATTGTTCGTGATCGACCTTCGAGCCATCAATCGCTAGTGTTATGTTTCGCCCTGTGGGCAAAAAAGTCGAGCAAGCTCGAATCTATTCTTTGATGTTCTAAAAGACAAACACAGCCTGTGAAAAGCAAAGACCTTCAAACCAAACTTACTTTCTTTTCTTTAAGTTTCCTTTGACTTTTTCTTCCCTTACACACTTTAACCTTTTTGAACCCCTGTAATTTTCAAAAAAGAAACCTCATTCATAAATTAACGTGAATTTTTCATTATAAGATTTCATCCCACCCCTCCCAAAAAAAACAAAAAAACACAACAGATTTAAAATTCAAAAAAAAGGAAAAAAAAAGATAAATTAATTAAAAATAATGGTGTAGATTAAAAAGATAAATTAAACAAAACAAATGATACATATATAGATTTTTTTTTCTTCTTTCCTTGACATATTTTTTTCCCCTTGTCTTCTTCAACATTTCAATCCTTTTACTTCCTTAATTTCACATTCAACCAAAAAAAACACTTCAAAGAAAAAAAACTACGAATCCTTTCGAGTATCAAAAAAAACCAAAAAATAAACCACTTAACGATCCGGAGGTCTTTCCCAAGAGTTGGAAGACTGATGATGATGATGTTGTTGGTAATAATGTTGCTGTTGCTGTTGTTGCTGTTGTTGCTGCTGTTGTTGTTGATAAGAAGGTGACATTCCATAAGTTGAATCATGTGTTCTTCTCATCTGATTAGGCGATTCAGTTCGAATTTCACCTCTGTAAGCTGAAGGTTGTTCCCAAGAATTAGATTGATTATTCAAAAGATAAGAAGGAGAAGAAGTTCTATGAAACGAATCAGGTGTTCTAATCAAAAAAAGTGGAAAGACAAAAAAGAAATCAATTTTTCAACCCATTTCTTTTTCTTTCTTTCTTTAAGATTTTGAAAAAACAAAACAAAACTTACCCAAACCCACTTCCATAATTTGATCCATCTCTCATCATACTATTCCTTAACAATAATTGTTCATGAGCTTCACTTTCAGCTGTTCTAACTCTAGACATCTCATAAGTATTTTCCATCTTAGGCATTTCTTGATACGAACTTTTAGGTGAATCATTTCCTGCTAAGATCATCGAACTACTACCATTATTAAACTTTCCAAATCCAGGTCCATCTCTCATATAGCCTTGAATATTTAAATCTTGTGTAGAAGAGACGGTATTCAATCCATTCGGTCCAAGTGCATTTGAAGATCCAATTGACATCTCATCTTCATCTCTTTCTCTTAAATATTCTTGTTTAGAATACATCAAATCATGTTGAGCAATCGCAGCGAATTTCAATCCACCAGTATAAGCTGCAGGTGGTGAAGTTGATGAATTCTTGATACCTAAATTACTTGATCCTCCTCTAAATTCATCAAATTCTCCTTCAAATTCCTCTGATCCTTCTGCAATCCTACCATTATAAATCACTCCTAATAACGATTGATGATCTTTATGAATCATAGGTGTAAATAATTCTGCTGTAAGTGATGGATGTCCGAATCGTTTTAATAATCGATTCTTTCTTGCATCTGCATGATGTTGATGAACTCTTTCTAATTCAGCACCTGAGGGTATATACCATGTAAATCTTGAATCAAATGTCGATTTTAGGAAAAATTTAAAGCCAATGATGATTGCGATTGGTGGAAGGGTAGTGATCGATTTCATCTGAAGATAAACAACAACATCACTCAATTCAAGTTCATTCATCCTTCGAGTGGTGATAGAATCAAAGCCAATTCAAAGAAAAGACTCACCCATCCTAGTTGAAGTCCAATCGTAAGACAAAGGAATGCTATTCGAAAAAAAAATAGCACAAATGAGCATTTTGAACCAACTCTTATCCCCAGAACCAAGAGGTAAAAACATACCATGCATCAAACAAAGTGCGAATAAGATCCGATTGACCAACATTCTCCATAACCTTCCACCAGTTTCACAACGAGTGACAGAGATATACATAAGTTGATACTTATAAATCCAAGAACTAGCAAAAAAAGCCACAGAAGCCAAGAGAGGTACTAAAGGAGCCAAAGGTGCATCTTTGAATCCTCAAAAACACCTCAAAGTTTTCATCAGCCTTGATTATTTGATATTAATCTAGTGTTTTTTTCTTGAAAAAACAAACCAACAAACACTAATCACTCACAAACAAGTGCAACTAACAGCATTAAAAGCATATTTGCAGAATAAACCGCATAATCAAATTCTGGTGGTTTAGTCCATTCTCTAATATCACGTGGTGTACGTCCCCAAATCTTGGTACGAATAAAGATCCAAAGTAAAGAAACGATTTGAGCTAAATCCAAAACAGCTGAGAAACCTCTCAATGGGAACCAAGTAAGCCAATAACTAAAGGAAAATTTTGTTTAATCAGTTATGTGTTTTTATCTTAAACTTTATGAATGAGATGAGCAAACAAAAACGAACTACTCAACTTAGATTGTTGTATATAAGTAGTTTGAATCTTATCAGGTAATTTTGAAAAATTTTGAAAAATCTTTTCAATACTATCTTTTTTACCTACTTCAACTACGACTTCAGCAACAGTAGAAAATACAACACCCTGATGGTCAAAAAAGGAAAAAGGATTGATTTAATGTTTCTCATTTGGGAAAAAAAATCATAAGAAAAAATAAATAAAGTATGACTTACAAGAAGTGAAAAAAGAAAGAATTGTGTTAAAGTTAAAAATGAAAAATATCTTGCAAGGACTGCTCTATCTAATTTTGAATAAGTAGTTGCAGCTTGAAATTTCGTAAGCCTAGATGAGATTCAAAATCGAGTTAGGACGGATGGTGAGGGATTTGGATTCAAGACGCCTAAGAGAACGTCAAATGGAATACTCACGCTCTCATGATCTGGTAAAGGGAGAAGTATATCAGTCATCAAGAATCATACAGGTTTTTAGAACTGAGATAAAGATCATAAACACAATATATGCGCCTAAAATCCAAGCAAGGAAACCGAACAGTATGACAGAGACTGACCATAGGTAATGCCAATTGTAAGAGTGTACTAAGCAGCGGAGGAGCAATACCTGCAGCAGCTAAAAACCATCATCACCACCCAAAAGTAAACCACCTAATCTTAGCCACGATCCAAGAATCCCAACCGATTTTAAGAGAAATGACCCAAACTGACCAGCAAAGGTAGGAGGACTAGCATTAGACCAATCAGCCAAGAAAGAGACATATTGAGTTAAGCTAGCCAAATTAGCAATCAAAGCCAAAGCCAGTAAAGGGATCACATAAAGTGTAGCCACGACTGATAAGATGGCATGACCAATGATACGTTGTCTGATAGCTACTATATCTGATTTAGTTAAATTTGTCCAGATGATATCGTGTGGTGGTGGAGCGAGTGAGAGAGCTACTCCTTTGATTCGACGATCATCTAGTTTCTTGGCTACTAGATGTGCATATGCAACAGTAGCAAATGAAGCAAATCCGTAACTGTTTGGTTGTTCATTCAAAAGAACAAAAAAAATCAAAAGTCGTTTCATAAGTGATCTCACAAAGAAGCCATCACACAAAAACAGATGAATTTACTTCTCAGGTTTACGATCCATGATAGCTTGACGAGTTTTGATGATTTTACTTTCGATAGATTTAATTTTTTTAGTATAGAAATCAATCGAATCCACTTTCTTACCACCACAACCCAATAAGTTATGATTGATTCGAATCGTAGGTCGATTAGAAGAAATTCGACCGTCTTTCAAATATCTTGCTAAGATTTGTTCTAATTCTCTAACGGTTTGATTATGATGTTCTATTAAGAATGGTAAATCTCCTACTCTTCTACCTATATGGACAGCTGTGGTTGGATATGGGATTTGTAGTTGTGTCAAAAGTGTTTGAAGACCTGCATCTGACATATGTTTTGAACCTGATGGATTTGACGCGTAAATGAAGATTTAGCTAGATGATACGGTGTTGGTTTGGTAGATGGATAGGATTAGAACTTACCAACATGTGTCATCATGATTGAACGTGAGTATAACGCGTTTTGATAGTCTTCACTCCTGAACCATTGCCATCTTAATTTGAGCACAGCCTTATAATTGATATAAACCAAATAACAAACTACTGCAGTAGCTATATAAGCATATACAACGTGGACATATAAAAAACTAGAGGTTCAAAAGGATCAAGAATTTCATTAGTGATAGGTAAAGTGTTTGATCAGAAATAAGAAGAGACAGACAAACTTTCCACGTATATTACTAATAGTCACTAAAGCCAAACGATTAGTAGAAAAAGATTGATCCGTAGCTTTACGTAAATTATAAAACAAATCACAAGGAATCAAAATCGAACAAGCTAAGATAGCTAAAGATCCAGTAATCCAACGACACATGCTCAAAAATCTTAGAAAGATGATCGCATCTAATCCAATCTTTGACATTAATTGATCTTCTTTTGTTTTGATTAAAGGTGATAACCATGATAATAATCCATCATCTAATTTAGGTGGTCGTTTTGATTCTTGTGAATATTTATATTTTGGCATATAAACTATTTTGTTTTTGGGTCGTAAGATTGAGAATGCTAAAAGGGTTCCAAGTGAGCATGCTAACATTAAAACTATCCATCAACATCAAAATAAAAAACAAAGTAGTGAGTATGAAAGTTTTCTGAAATGAAGTTGCTTTTGAGAGATAGGATAAGATACCTAATTGGATGAGAACAGCACCAGTAGTGACAGCAGTTAACTTTTGTTGATATTGAGATAATAAACCAGAAGCTGCAGATCCAGCTGAAGTGTCGGTAGCCGACATTTCTGGTTGATTTGGAGATCGACAGTCGAAGCGAGGTTGCTGATTTGAGTGTGAAATTGAAATGAATAGTAAAATGTTATTGTTGTTGTTGATAATGAATTGTAAAAGTGATTTTGTAGTTGAGTTGAAACTTTACAGTTAAAGTTGGTTTACATAAGCTAGCATAAGCTCTTTCGGATTTTGGACCGACTGTCCCGCGGTGATTAACGATGAGACTTTGTATGATCGTGCTTTAAGAACTCTCATCACATGTTTGACCGTCCATGGTTTCAATTCGAACACAAGCTGCGGATCCCTTCAAGTTTCTGAGAAAAACGCCTGGATTCCCGGAACGCTATGATATCAATCTGAAATCTCATTGCAGTTCTCGGTCCTGCCGGTTGCTGTGCGAGTTTGCTTTTCACAAATGCAGTCGAACTCGAAGCCAGAGCACCAGTGAGCCGCATCAGGCAAACAAAGCCTCGGGCCTTTGGCGAGGGACTTTGTTAAGCTTGCGCATCAGGTTGCTTCTTCATATTCCGGTTGATTGAACTCTGACACCTTGAGAAAAGAGGTTGAGGACGCGATAGGCGCAAAATTGGATTGCAGCAGTCCAGTACTTATTTTGCACCTCGGTTGAACAGATTGGTTGAATCATGACATTGCAACTATGCAAGGCCCACCACATTGCAATTTTACAAGGACCACCACACTTGCAGATTTTGATAGTAACGGTTTCGAGATTTGAGTCGCGAAATCCTTTGTTGTTAGTGGGGATTTCCAAAATGGTACTTCTGGTAGATGATGCAACATGAGAATGGAGTGACTGGTATGTCTGAATGGGACACCTCATTTAAATTGATGACACATGGTATCACTGTTTATAAGATCACCCACATCAACGGTGAGGGATGGAGATCATACCGCCAGGTCATGAATACCCTCATGTTCAAATGGCCATGTTTGCCAAACAGAACAGATGGCAATGGAATTCAAGGATGAAATGCTGTCTTTGCATAAGGGTTCTTGCTCCGTCTTCAGAACATCTGATTCTCAGGAATTTGTGTCTCATGTTGCTTGCAGCATTTTGCCTCGACTTTTTATACCACTTCCTCCACTTCCTCATCACAAAGTTATTTACCTGATGTATATGTCTACAGGCATATATCTGATTAACTAAATATCTACTTGACATATATATATAGTATTTGATTTTTGAAATGTGTGTGGTGAGCCATGATCAAGCTTCTTCCTCATTTGACACTGCACAGTGTCCAAGTCCTAACTGCATGACTGTTTTGCTAATTATTTTCTGTGAGCAACTTTGAACATCTTCTCATTTAGTTTAGAGACAAAATAAGTTGTGTATGTACTTCATCTGCTTGGAAAGTTGAATGTCCCACCCATCATGGCAACCCAATCAACATCAGCATCTGGCCAGGAGGGCATTTGGAAGCTTTCCATGGCTTGGAGGTCTTTCAGGAATTGGAAGCTTTGGTATGAATTCTGAGACCTCTCAACCAAAAGAGGCCTCAGAAGGCAATCCTTATCCTAAATCTTATAGAAACAAAGGTATATGAGGAAAACTTACGCTTGGCACATTTTCCTAACACTGGATTCAACCCTATATCTTTCTTTATCTCCATACATGATCACCTCTGCCTTTTATTAGGGACACTAGAGGGCTTCATAACATCTGAAGAAGAGGACAAGGTGGAAGTGGATAACAAATCTCCCAAAGTACAAGGTGACAAACATTCTGATCAAGGTATGGAATTTTCCTCTTTGAGGACTTTTTCTGATGCTGGACTAACCCCTGTTTTGTTCCTGATATTGGTACTAATCCCTCCATTTCCACTTTAGCAAATACTCTGCAAAGGCTCTAAATTGTCTGAATTTAGAGATAATTTGTCAAAAGATGGAGGTAGCTCATATGAAGATCAATATAAGTCATCATAGAATGTGAATAATCCATTGACAGATCAGGAGACATCATCTGAGACTGGTGATAACAGCTCACATGGAGCAGAAAGCCAAAAACTTCTTCATATATTCTACCCTTTTTAAGGCTCTGATTCGTCTGGAGCTTGTGCAGAGGAGTCATCCAAAGAAGCAGGAAAACAGTCAAAGAAAAATGTCACTAGTGGTGGTACTGGCAATGGTGCCAATGGTTATGGTTAAATGCAAAAGATGGAAAGTTTTGGTAGTATTGCTTTATATTTAACACTAGCATTCTATAGTTATTTCATGCTGTATGCTGTTGTTATTCTGTTTGGACTTGCATGAGGACCTTGTGAAATCTCAATTTACCCATAATCCCTCAGTGTCCACTCCATCACACATATATGTGCTAATTTTATGCTGTATGACCAAACATATGTATTTCATTGCCAGGAAGTGTAAAGAAATTGTAACTTTGAGATAGGAAAGACTTATTGGTGCACCCACAAACAGGTCAGAAGATCAGCAAAAACTTGTTACAAAGTTCAAGATTTGACCATATGATGATTTGAGTTTATTGGCTTAATCCTTCACTGTAAATGGCTTAAGATGCAGCTGAGAAAAGCTACATTGGAGAGGAATGATTGACTAATCCTGTTGTTGGATTTGAGCAATTTTTTATGAGATGAAATATTTTTGATTTATTTTGGTCTTTTAGATACAAAAAAACACCAATCTAAAGTAGGTGACAGCACTTGAGCAATTATGACTTGAACTTTGGCCATTTGAATGTTCATCGGTTCATAAGCAAACTATTAGGATGTCATAGGTAGTCATTTCCAGAATATGAAAAAGAATCCACCCAAATGACTGCAGAGAGATCGCCAAGATATAGTAATCATGCAACAGTCATTTGAAAAGATGGCGATGATTCCAGCTTGCACGGTGCATATCCAGTGGAAATTTAGCCGTTGTGGGGTTTCCTCCAAAAATTTCCTCACAATCACTACAAAACAACAAATTTCAAAGAATGTAATATCACAATTAACAACAAATTCCACGTATACAATTACAAACCGAATCAAGTGAAAGAAATGGTCCAAAGATATCAGCAACAAGATCAAATAAAAAACACCAATGAGTTCAAAAAGAAACTAGAATCCCACTTCAGGAAGTAGAAAAGAAAAAGAAAGGAAAAGAAGAAGAAAAATAGAAGCTCATAAAAACACAAGATGTATAAGAAACTAAGAGTAAATCCTGATAGCTTGATTGAAAGATCGATCTAAAACACTTTTTGCTGAACTACCTTCCGGTTGTCTAGTAGGAATTAAATCTATAATAGCATAAGTCAATTGCTTAAATAATCAAGAAATAATTCTCATTAGATCCTGTTCTTTTTCTTGGATACAACAAGATTGATAATCGAAGATCTCATCACTTACATCAACTACACTTTCTAGATCTAAAAGTGCAACTCGAATAGGTCTAGTATAAATCTTTCCACGTTTTTCAATTATAGTAGACAATAATGAATGTTGAGTGGAAACAAACTTTGGTATAAAAAAGCCAATTAATCAACAATTAGCCATTTCCAGAACCTTTCGTTTATAAAACAATCAAGGATATTTTCAAAGAAGAGGTGGAATGAAGTGTACTAACATTTTGAAGAACGTTGATGATTCGAAGAGCTTCATGATCATTAAAAGGTGTCATGATTGAAAGATTATCAATCGATTCTGGAACTTTTTGATTAAGTCCGATTAAACATCCTACAATTGGTGCCGTTTTGATTATATGACCAAATGGTTTTGGTTTAGATAATAATTGATCGCAGTTTATTAACATTTCTGTCAGATTATCTAAATGTTGTATTGTGGTATGAGCATCTGAAGTATCGGAAACTTCATTGATGGCATTTATGAGACGACGCTACAAAAAAAATCGAACGTATGTCAGGGAAAGACTATTCAGCTATATTTTGAACCGAATCTCATAGGAACAGAGGAAGTCAAGGAAGAATTCACAAACCTTTCCAGAAGTTGAATCTGTACTTGAACGACGAGTACTAAGCACAGGCGCTACAACCTTATTCTTAAGAGGAAAGAAAGGTATCATCACATGATCATTGATAATAACTGAAGGCTAACAAAAAGTCAAGACAAAAGAATTAGCAACGGAATAGATATCGATATTGATGGATCAGATGAGAAAACACAAACCGCCTCAGTTTCAACATTGCTAAGTGAAGTTGTGTAACGAAAGCCTAAAATAGCTGAAGTTAAAGAAGCGATGGATAAGATAGCAGCTGGCAGTAAAACCATTTTTTGTTGAAGTTGAATTTTGAGAAGTGGAAAAAAAATTGGAAAAAAAGGCTTGGATGTTTGGGATGATGATGATGGATGGTGAGTATATCAATTTGACAAATGATTTGGATGATGACGAAAGTTAATATGAGATGCTGAGACAAAATAGGGACGCGTTCACAAAAGAATCATCAGTCATGCGCTGAGATTATATAAGATTTCTGAACCTGAGCAGGGCAAATTGATCATGCTCATCACATGGTGTACAAATTCAATTTACGCACTCAAAATTATATCACACTGATTGATATCACCAGCTGTGAGTGAAAAGTCTGTAGAAAAAAATTATCATATGAATCCTTCTGGTGATTGTCTCTCTGACCGCAATTGATCAACATCCGATCGAGTTACGTTGACAGAGGGAGTACATCGCAAGCTTTCCTGATTCTGGGAATCTTCCCACTATCCCGATTCCAAGTGATCATCGCACAAACGTCGTGAGGTCTTCAAGTAAGCGAATTGTGGATGGCAGTCACGGCACAGTATGAGCAATTAATGAATAGCCGACTTCTTCTCCGTTAGGGTGACTGGATCGAGAGACATTGTTTTCCCATTTACTCGAAGGAAGTGAAGTCTTTCTGTGGTTGCTTGATGATGTTCCACACTCATCCTAACTGAATGAAAAATGTGACATTTATGTAATGGTGCAATCCTATAGGGACCTGCCATATATTGATACCCATGAAGTTTGAACCACCGGCAGACCATGCAAAGCCTCATGGTGTATATGAAATTCTGAGAACAATCCTCCATTTGTAAAATATCACATGTATTCACCTTGTCAGCTTTCAGTCCCTCATATGATAAACATCATCTTGAGCTCTTCACCACATCAAGAGAAGAGTAGAGTTCCCTTATTTTTTCTCTTTGAGCTTTCTTCATCACCCAAGAAATTTCCAACCCTTATCATCCTTGATAAAGTATGGATGGACAATGATGAGTGAGAAGGTCAGAGATATGATTTGCTTGTTACAAGACTCCAAGATGGTCAGAAGGGAACCAGACCACCTCTAGTTCAACAGCCTACATACACAGTAAATAAGATCTTTACAAACTACCACAACAAGATGCAAATCAATGGGCATCCTTTGTTATACAATCCTTTCAAACTTGGCTTACAAAAAACAGAGATATGGAACAAGGAAAGATTTCTATAAATAAAGTGATATATATAGGAGAATACTGGGTATCTAGAATCAAAAAAGAAGTTGTTTGGTTTGACTCATTCTGTTTTATCTAAAGTATCAGCATAACAGTAGTCGCGTGGCCCATGAGCAGGGTTTAAAAAATAACTGCATATGAAAGATCAAGGATCACAATGGTCAAAAACCATCACAGACAGCAGTTGAATGAAATGACTCACTGAGGGAAATTCACAGTAACCCCAGCTCCTCCTTGAAGTAGAAATGTGAGTAATACTATTGTAATTTGAGTCCCTCCATCAAGTGCAGCACTAAGAATGTAGCTAACAAAGTGGTTATTTGAATTAGGTGTTCAATATGTGTCCACACTTTGAACCAAATGATACTGCACTCACTTGTAATTTTTGTACCTGGAGCTCTCTCCCAAATTGGTTTTAGTCAGTATGGATTAAAGTTGAGAAAGGGTTATAACCTCACCATGCATTGTGGTATCTTTTACAATAGAACTGTGACATGAATCCAAGAAACAACTTGAGGGTATATCCACTGGTCACACCTGATGGTTCCAAGGAGAACAAGCAAGTTTCATGTGAGTGTGAAGCCAAATCTCATAACAGCAGTGAGCACCAAAATTACCTTGTATGCACTCATAAAATGTTCCTGCAAAGAGAGCAATGTTGAACCTATCCAGGTGAAGCTTAGGGAATTCTCTATGAAGGAAAAATAATGGTATAGGCACAAAGAAGCCAGCTAGGAGACAATATGGAACAAAGGACTTGATATTTTAACTATCTCGGTTAGCAGTTGCTTGATAGAACACATATTGAAAATTGTTTGATCACTTACATATAAACCTCCATGTGTGTACAGATGCTTTCCAAAGATCCCCCAACTTCATTCAAGAAAAATTTCCGCCAAGAGACACAAGCTCAATAAACCTGGACAAATGCCTAGTATTTGATGATAGGATATGGTTTCATACGTGATGGATTGAGCTTCAAATGAAGAAAGGTGAAGTCCAGAGAAAACTCCATTCCCAGAAGGTGAGGTCAATGCGTCTCTTTGAGAAGTAATGATGCTAAGCATAACAAAGAAGTTTACAAAGACTCCCACAACCCTGATGTATGTTGATTGAACATTTTCATTAAAATAATTTAGCTTCATCTCATTTTACTATCAACTTGTTGGCTCAAAATGACTGACGTTCCTATCAGTTGTCCAATCACTACTTCAAACTATAAGTTTTTGCGTCAAGTAAATATATTTTGATCAAGCTCAAGATGTGTCTCTACGGTAGGAGACTCACTGATGACATGTGTAAGTATTGTCCCCTATACAAACAAATCAGTTTCCGGCCATTTCAATAGATTGATGAAGATTATCTTTCATGAATGACCCACAGTTTCAACTCTAGTTCGAGAGGTTCGAGAAATCCATCATCATGTGCGAATAATAAATCAGGATACAATGATTGAAAACTAGGTTACATAAAAAAATAGCTTTGCGTACCTTTAAGCATCAGAGTAGACTGAGACGCTGGAAATCGGAAACAATCAACAGATGTTCTGTTATGACAGTAATATAGGCTACTAACCTGTCGAAGCCCCGAAGCTGTTGTTGATGAATCAGAAGTAAAGCTTCTCAGCGCAGGAAAAAAAATCAAGAAGTTCAAAAGCCCGTACATCGTGAAGAACATTGTACCAAGCTAGACAATTAGATACGCGCTTGGTCAACTGCCACTCAATTTTCTCACCATATTCATGAATTATGATGGAGCACGTACTGCATTTCCCGGAAATAGTAGTCCACTGGAAGATATGAAGCATGTGAGATGCGATCATATCAGCTTTGATCACGTTTGGATGCAATGAGTTTTACTTAATTCTTACCCTAGCATTTGCACAACTGGTACATATGGAGATGTTAGTTATCTCACTTATAACATAAAATGACAGAATGACTGGACTCACTTGGGGACGTGTGTAGACGAACTCCGGTAGTACCGTAGAAGAATCCCGATGCTAGACTGAGATGAATGTTTCAATAAGAATCAAACAAAAACTTGTCGCCTTTTCGGAATGGACTATAAAGAGTCTTACCTCAAGATAAATGAAATCAATATAGCAGTCATGAGTCCAAAATTAGAGAGTCCAGAATTTCCTGTGTCTAACGCAATAAAGGCTATGGCAACCGCAACAGCCGCGATTGCTCCAAATCCCCTGAACAAGAACCAATTTGTGATGAAAAAAGATGTCAAATATCACCACACATAGTAAGGAAAACTTCAATTCACTTACCACATTGGAAAATCTTTTAATCTGCTACAAATTTCGCGATCAGGATCAATTGAAAGCTCTTCCCTTCGAACCATAGAAACAATTGTTTTCCATTTCTTCAAGATGGCAGTTGTAAAAGCAGCAGAAGCAGCAAAACAAACAAAAGCTTTCCCCAAAATATATGTAGTAGAAAAGAACGGCATGCCTAGTTGGGCTATTGCTTTTGTGTTTTCTGTGCCGTCTGGATTTATTACTAACGAAGTTTTGTAAACTTGACCGTCTTGATCCAAAAGTGAGAATGATATGAAAGGAAGCTTCCCTCCACCTTCAGGTCAGCGTACAAAAGTTGAAAGATTCCCATCAGTCAATCCAATAAAAGCCCACAGAGTTTACGTGTTGGTTATACTGACCTAACCAGTTGTGTTTGTGTGCGATAGAAAACAGCATAATTGCCGCTATATAAGCCACACCTTGATTACACTGTTTGAGAAAGGTTCATACGGTCAGATCATCCAGTCTTGTTCTCGAAGGCCCGAGTTATATTATGATTGTGTTGTGTTAGGTAAACGTACCTGTGCTTCGAGGGGCGTATATAAAGGTCCAGCTGCACCAAGGACAGTCCAATCAAAACTCAGAGATAGAAAACCAAGACCTTGACCAACTTGACTCCCCCCAAATAATTGAGAGACGGCAGGAACAGAAGGCAATGCTAAACACCATGGGCTGATGGCTTGAAGTGAGGGGGCGATGTAGGTCGGGAATATCTCATCTACATCGAATGAATGAACCCTCAGTCTCATCCCGCTTTACAAATCGCGAAAAAATGTTAATTTGATCGACATACAGATGCTAATGCCTAATAATGCATTTTTGAAGAATGAAACTTGTTTTTTTCTGAGATCGCTTGCTTTGTACATTGAATGAAATAATGCCACCGATGGTAATACTGATGGAAACGCGACGTTTTCCGGGAATACCAACAAAGGACACAGCAATCTAACGATTTTCAGGAGAACGACTTTGCTGAGATTAACTTGTGAAACAGCAATCAATCTTGACTGGTGTTCCTTACCCTGCCCAACCATAGCCTATCATCTGGCTACTGAACATGACCATTAAAGAGTAAAGCATTTGCGGCTTTTCATCGAATAGCAGAGCGCGCGCCCCAATCATCTTTCAAAGAAAAAGGTATTATCAGTATATTGAATATCGAATCTGTATGAGAAGATGTCTATCTTTTGGAAAAGTGCCTCACTTCTACCGAAAAGGCACCAGCACTAGCTGCAGCAGACATGACTGAGCTGAAGGTGGTTTCTTTCTAAAAATTGATCAAAAGATGCAGATGCATTACAAATGTCAGTTTTCAATGTCAGCTTTGATTACATATTTCTGAGCTGCAAGAACAACAGACAATGCTGAATGGACCGGGATTCCAAGCATTTGGACCTGGTATATGAGCAGCCAAGTGACCGAGGGTAAGACACGCCAGCTGGAAACCATGATTACAAGCTCATATCAGCGTCGTTCTCAATGACATCTCTAGTTGTGAAGAATAATAGCGCTTTTGTGACGTACTTGTACAAATAGTGAGTGGACGTGGAACATTATGGGCTTGAACCTGAGGCCAATGAAGAGACACCTCGGATCTTCAATGCACTAGCCTTTTGAGATGAATAAAAATGGCTTACATGAAAATCTGTTGTATGGCCAAGATACGTCAACAAGAATCGCGAAACATGACAGCCTGGAACTGTAACTTACCTGCGCTGAAGCAGCGCCAAAAGCACTGACTAACAGCCCGACCAGAACCGAACGAATTGTGATCGAGCTGAATTCTCGTTGCTCTGGCTCACTTTCTGGGGCCCCAGACCCATGCGAGCTTTTTGGTTTCTCCTCGTGATCTTCCTTCATGGCGATGAATGAGCGGCAGGGATGTAAAAGAATGACTAGGTGATGAGAGGAAAACTTTCAAACTCAAAATTCTAATGTTGACAACCCACTTGGTCTCGTTCTCAAATCCAGGTAGAGAAATTCCACGCAGTTTTTGGCGGTCGGTACGAAGAGGCAATATCGACGGAGGATTGCGGGCAATATACTGATGACACAGAATGGTGTTGTTTGTAAGAGAGCGATACATACGTTGAGCGCAACTTTGTCTCATCGAATTGATGTTTGAAGACTCGCCGGTCAGGAACGTGGAGAAAATCTTGCAAGTTTTCTGGTCCAAAACAGCCGAGAGCAGGTTGTCCTTCGAACTACAAGCGGATTTCTATGCCCTTGCTGAGTGCTGAAACGGAAGCTAGCTAGGGGAACCGTCTCAAGTTTTTTGATTCTGTGCACGTTGGAGGCGACCTTTCGAAGTGCTATAAGCCCATCAATGGGTATCATCTTCATGAGATACTGACTGTTGTGATTACTGATTGATGAGCGCTTGATCATGCTCCTCATATTCCTGAGCTACTCAGCCGGTATCAACGCCGTGTGTTTCTCATTTCGGACTGGCCTTGCTGTTGATTACACGATGATGTTCTGGTGTTTGTCCTTTGAGCGAAATCGTCCGTCAACGAGAGCATGTAACGTCGATGGCCAATCCATCAGGTTCCTTTTGTTGTCAACAAGTCGAATGCTCCTTGCATAAAGTGAGCCTTGAGGGCTGAATGTATGCTGAATCTGAGTGGCCCCGTCCTTGTGCGGGGCTAGCAAAACAGGATGCACCGCGTGAAGTTCTTGGGATGACGAACGAAGTTTAGAGGACGCTTTCGGTTGGTCAACAGCAATCACCGATTGATATCTTGCATTATATCGTCAGTCTTTGTTGAGAATAATCAGATGACAGTCAACGAGATCCACGATCGAGGTCAAAAGGTGTTATAACCACACATCGTTTCTTGACCTACAGCTCATCAACGATTGTATATCGATTATCAATTTTTATTCAAGAGAGTTTTGCAAAGCGAGATGGAAACTGACTCTGAACTCGCATTTCCCACTTCTGATTGGCAAGTTGTCTTGTGAGTCGATATAAGTGATACAGTCGTGCAGACATGACTTGCTAACCATGTCCATTGTTTTGTTAAGACGGCAGCCAACAGGAAAAGTGGTGCTATATAACTCACATTCAAATGAACTCTCAATACATGCGGAGGACGAGTCTGATATGATCCTCCAGTCAGATTCCAGCGAGCTCCTATATCCCACCAAACAGATCTCGAGCACCGAGGCTCAAAGATCATTCCTCACCCCCCAGTCTTCGGCTTGCCCGCTGTGCCGCCATCCCTTCAAGACTTCAAACTCGACCTCTTTTAATTCACGCGACGCCGATCGCACAACTCCCCCGTATACTGCAGCATTTTTGAACCCCTTAAGAGCTTTGCCACCGCCAGAACGTAATTCACACGAGGACGGAAATCAAGCTCAATGGGTCGATCGGCCGGGTGAAACCATTATCGACGCATCCTACTTCAGATTATTATCCAGGACCTCAACTCCTCAGCCCAGTCGGCCTGTCACACCATCTCGCCGCTCTAAATCAAGGAACCCTTCCTTATCTTTTTCACCCGCCTCACCCTCGATTCATCCGGACACTTCTGCCTCTTCAATCGATCCAGACGAAGCAGAGGACTTAGGCAATGCATATCGAGTGGATGGTTATTACGAGAGGTTCTTTGTAGAAGAGCTCAAATTAGGAAGGGGTGAAAAAGGCTCAGTATTTTTATGCACTCATGTGCTGTATGGTCACCCGGTTGGACATTTTGCAGTCAAAAAGATCGCTGTCGGTCACTCTGGTCCTGAGTTGTTGAAAGTTTTGAGCGAAGTAAAGTGTCTTGAAACTCTACGACATCAAAATATAACTCAATATCACCATGCATGGATAGAAAAAGCCCAGTTATCCAGATTTGGCCCACCGGTTCCGGTTCTTTTTATTTTGATGGATTACGCCAATGGTGGTACCTTAGATGGCTACATTGAAACCCGAAAAGGAGCCAAAGCCTTCAAGAGTAATGAAAACCAACATGACACTGATCCAGATAGTCATCAAGATCCCGAAGCAGCAGCAGATGTTGAAAGACGAAGACAAGAGAAAGAACAATTCAGACGCCGCAAAAATGCTCATAAACCAGGTCCGACCACAGCTGCGGAAACAAACGAGTCTTACCTTCGAACAAATTCAGATTCACAGCATGCACAGAATATGAACCAGCTTGACAACCTTCATGATACCTCTCGAAGTAATCATGGGCAATCTGGATTAGCGATACATCTGTTTGGACTGGAAGAAATCTTGAGCTTTTTGAGAGATACCTGCAATGGATTGGCATTTCTACATTCTCAGGTAAGCCTTGATTGGATATCCAAGGTTCTTAATCCAAGCTTTTGTATCTAATATATCTCTCGAACCATACAGGGTATCCTTCATCACGATTTGAAGACTGAAAATGTGCTGTTACATTGGGAACACCAAAACAGTATAATGTGAGGTTTCTTTCTACACCTTCTAGACCTGTTGGACCTCGTATCAATTGATCTATCGGACCGGCTTTTATTTCCGCGCATCAGTCCTAAAGCTCTGATATCCGACTTTGGAAGCTCGATTGACCAATCGGAGAACCGACGGCGTCAAAGAAGTTGGTCTTTCTGAGCATCTAGCGATACGATTTGCTACTTGACACTCGACACTGAATACGTCTATTCCAGCCGGTCGGACAGGTACTCTGGATTGGGTTCCGCCAGAATCGTTGAAGAAGGATCCTCGGACTGGTCAACTGTACGAAGTCACTCAGACAGGTGATATGTGGCAACTTGGCCTGGTACTTCATTGTCTCTGCTTTTTCAGGTAGGTACATCTCATGAATTTAACTGTGGAAGGCGTGCAATACATGGCCCCCAAGACAGCAATCAACTTATTCAATGTATTTTTGCACCCACTAGGTTGCCCTACACAGAATCGGATGACATTGACCGTCTACGAGAGGAAATCCAAAGATACCCTGGGTACGATCTTGTTTCGGTATCAACACGTGTATAGTTTCTTCACACGGCTCCAAGAATTAGCCACTCATTTCTGATGGCTGGGCTGGCGCCTTTCTCGAACTGACACTGTGTGCCGTTTTTGCCGCATATCTTGCAGATATATATTTCCTTCAAATCCAAGAGATCAATTCTCCATCGACTCTCAATCCGTCGGTTCTCATGTACCAGACCGCTTGGATCTACCTCGGCCGTTGATGAAACTTCTGGCCGGTCTACTGTGTCTGGATCCTAGTTTAAGGCCAAGCTGTTCTACTGTCTTGAAATGTATTGAAAACATTCGCCAATCTACCTTGGCTCCTACAAACGGTGTCTCTTTAGCTACTAAATCGTTGAACAGAAAAACTACGAGTACAAATGGGGTACCAAGTTCCTCGAGAAACACTGATCTCAATGTCCGCAACTTGAACCCTACGGTGAACTCGCCTCGTGACGAGTCAGGTCAATTGACGGTAATGAAGAGACGTGGATACTCGAAGTCTTCTGTCGAGGAGGAAGGGCTGAACACCACCTTTAGCAACGAAGATGTACACGCGACAAATGCGAATGTTCTTCATTCACGAGGTTCAGTCACCAATTCGCATTTTCTAGACGATTTGCCTCACATGTACTCAACCTAGCTTCCGCGATTCCAATTGAATCTTTAGCCTCGATGAATAAGCTACTGGGCCGCCCTCGTACCTCCGCGGAAGAGTCGCGCACTAGGACCCCGAGCTTGTTAGGTGTCAGATCCTCCTTGTTCGAACAGTCGCCTCGTCATTTCCGAATGCAAGTGTATATCGGTTGTTTGGTGATCATCAAAGTACGGCGGATTTTCATCCTTGTTTGATAGACATCACATTTCTTTGCTAATGATCAATATACAACGATCATGCGATCAGTCTGCTATTTTCCTTTCAAAGGTGGGTACCTTTTTGGATGGCACAAGAGGGACACTGATGCTTACAGTAATCAATGTGGTAGAATTGACATTGTTAGTCTATTTTTATACTGTTCATATTGATAAATCCACGAATATTAACTTTGACCACTTACCTATCCTTGTTTCTTCTTTATCGCGTGGATTTTAGATGTAACTGGGCTATCACTATCTCGATCACTTTGATAGAGTTGATCTTGTTGATTATCTATTGGTCATGAAACCTATGTATATCTAAATCTTCTACAATTTATTTGCATGTCTTGCTTGTTGGCATTTTCTCTTTACTTCAAATTATTATCTGTTCACATCTTAACCTCTTGGATCGAGATCAATCTTTGTATGGTATGTACGAGTCAGTTATGCATTTTCGCTTGTACTTTGTACTGTTTTTTGCGCCACAGATTTTGTTGTTATATAGGTTTTTGATTCTTATTGTATACTATGATGCACCTCCAAAAGACGATGGTGAATTTGTGAGTCTTTTTTGGTACGTGACGATAGCAACTTATTTGGATTCTGGATGTGTGCTTGAAAACACATAAATCCCTTTGAGCGTATCTATGGCCGTCTGCAAATAGCGCATTCAGGATCCATGGGTGATTGGATTGGTTCAACTTGTTTCTCAATTGAGCAATCAAAACATCTGTTTTTGTTCCTATCCTGTTCCCAATCCTGATCGTGAGACCCTTGAGTTCCTGCATAGCCTGATACTGTATCACGTGGTGCGGTGTCACAGTAGCTGACATGGATGATAGCATACAGAATGCACCGCATACGTCATAATCAAAACTTGGCTGCATGAGCAATTCTTCTCCTTCTTCTCCACTTTGGACTTCATTTTTACTCAGACAAAGCTCAACTCATCGTCGTATTAAAAGACTTTCATTAAGCACTATCAACAAGCCATTAGACTCCTCTCTAGCATGACCAATCCCGACGTAGAAACGATACTGATCATTGGTCTTTCGGGGGCAGGTCTGAAAACGTTTAACCTCTTACTAGATAAACTATATCCAACATGTGGCTCATCTGGAATCAATCGCACAATCAGAATAATTGTAATCGAAAAATCCAAGATGGCATATTGGCCACCTGGATCATTAAGAGCAGCTGTTTCACCTGATTTTGAAAAAAATATAATTGGTAGTTTTGAAAATGTAATACCTAAACGAATTAAAAACGATCCGGAAAAAAGTAAAAATGTAATGGTTATTACTGGAGTTGAAGTAACTAAATTGGATTTGGAAAAGAAAGTAGCATTTTTGGATCAAAGTCTTGAAAGCTTTGGATTGGATGGGAGTGAATTGGGTTTTAAGTTTTTAGTCATTGCAACTGTGAGTGGTCAATTTATTTGACTTTTTCTTCCATTCATATTCACGCATTCATTTTCCTCAGTTCATGAACTAAAACATCTTTTACTCATCTCGTAGGGTTCGATTTACCAATTCCCGTGCAGAATATCACCTACAGCTCAATCTCCTCAAGAAGTTGAAACTGAACTGAAGTCTTTACAAACCCAAATCGAAAGTTCGAAATCGATTTTAATTGCAGGTGGTGGAGTAGTAGGATTAGAATTCGCAGGAGAAGTTAGTTACAGATTTTCATCAACTTCAAATCGAAAAAAGATTACCATTGTTTCGTCATCACCGAATATCTTAAGTGATCATAGTAAATATTTAGCAAATTCAATCAAATCACAACTTCTTGATAGACATGTGGAAATTATTTATGATTATAAAGTTGATTTGAAAGCTGCTGATATTACGAAGACTTCTAAACTTGATTCACTTACTACCTTAAATCTTGTATCTAATCAAGATGGATCTACTAAAACTATTGAAGGTATGTTCGGTTAACTTATAGTATCTTATTTATTTCTGACAGATAGACCCAGACTGACTAGCTTACACACTCTTTATGCATGCGTAGCCGATTTTGTTTTTCTAGCAATAGGCAACAAACCGAATTCATCTATAATACCCGGACAATATCTAAATCCAGAAACAAAACGTGTGGCAGTGAACAGCTACCTACAAGTAGTTTCAAACGAATCTTCTGAAGCTTTGAATGGTGTATATGCCGTAGGAGATGTATCTGATTTCGAAGAATCCAAATTATATGCAGCTCTAGATGGACAAGCTGGAGTTGTAAGCAAAAACATGATGATAGATATCACTGAACCTAGTGGAGAAAAATCACAAAAGGTTATACATAAACCTATTCATGGTACGATTTCAATTCCATTGGGTGCTTATGGTGGTGCATCTGAAATCTTTGGGTTTGCTATTGGACTTGGGGTACGTAAAAGATTTCCTTTCAACAGATTCAAGTTTTGTTGTTTTTTTTACTTACAAGATGATTTCTCTTGACACATAGCCATTGGCAACTTCTTTGGCTAAAGGAAGGAATCTGTTCCTTTGGATGTTTAGGAGTATGTATCCTGATAAGCCAAAGTAGGCTATCCTTCGTTGCTTCCTCTTCCAAGTAGGTATCAATATGTAGTAGATATGTTGAGAGGTGATTGAATATGTATCATCAAAGACATCACTTGGTTGTTTGTACCTACAGTTAAACAGTTTAGTGGTTGTAAGTTTCCTTCTATTGTAATCTACACACGTTCTTGAATAACTTTCAAGCCATAGCCATCTCATGCTCTCATTTCTAGCTGAATGAGTCACATTTCAGGCTTGGCAATCAACTGTGCGCTCGGTTTTTTGTGTGACTTGAGTGGCGGAAATGTCACAGTGAAGGACGCTTGTTTACCTTGAGTGCTCTGAGCTTTGATATCGAGTAAACTGGGCATCTCGGAGGCTTATGTCTCATGATCTCACAAGCAGGTCACGTATAAACACGGTGGTGAGCAGTGGCACCGTAACACACAAGTTCTATCAGATTGCCAATGCCATCGTTCCATCAGACTATCAAATGTTAGCTTGAACAAGCCCTCTCTGCGCGGCCACGTCCGCGCGCCTCGCAGAGGGGCTTGGGACTACATAATCGTGAGTTCCTGGCACGGAGACTCCACGAGTTAAGTCCACTTATGTAGTTTTTCGCCTTTTCCCGCTTTCCTCACCGATAAAAACAACTTTACCTTGCAGGAAGAGTTGTTCATATTTTTGTTCTACACATCCTCATAGCCTCAGATTATACACAAACCATCTGATGCGGCCAGAAATGTGGCTTTAACATTTTTACAACACCCGCCTGTATTGTGGTCGGTTTTCAGTGCTTTTTGTACGTTAGTTTCTGCCTGCGCCAAATTCACCAAATGTTTTGCACATCCTTATGTTTAAATCACGTACGATGCGAATACAGGCTGTACATTCATTTACATATGGGACATAAGAGCTTGAAAACTCAACTCATGATCAGGGTGATGAAGTAGTGATAAGAGCATCCGCACTCGTGCGGTAAATCGCGTGCGGTAAGGTAAAATTTACCGCAACTGCGGGGCCTTTCCCACACTGGTGAGAAATTAGGCCCGCGGTAGTTAACTTTTGATCGATTTGCGTTAGCAAATCGGTAAATTTACCGATTGGCTAACGCATGTGGTAGCCAAATTACCAGCCCCCTCTTCACTTCTCAAGCACACCAACTTGCCAACTTGCCAACTTGACTCAACTCCGACTCAACTCCTCTTGATTCCTCTCGACTCAAAACACCCGACTTAAGAATCAATGGAGACCCGACTGTCTTCTAATTCATCAAACTAATGGGTATGTCTGGTTTCTTACTGTATGATTCTCTTTATCCAACATTGATTAAGATTGTTCTACTTTACATGTGATTATATATATGTTCATTGAGATTTTAGATTTATCAATATCGAATTGGGTTTAAAAGGGTTTTAGATCAAAGTGGATCAATTTCTGATCGTTTGTTTTGATTTTAGAAGGTTTTGAACATGTCTTGTCGTTTGGATTGACTTCAAAAGGATTTGAAAAATAGATATCACATTCAACTGTAGAGGGGAACTATGCAAAAGGGTCTTCATTATCTGCATTTCTTTTCAAATTCTCAATGGTCTTCAACATGACAACTTTTAATTGATGGTGCAATGAATTTTTGTTTGCTTGTCTACAAACCTCTCTGTGCCAACCATCCAGTGGTGATGAGATCTCAAGTTACTCTCAAATGAACTTCCCTGTCCCAAAGCTCTTCTTCCCTGGCAGGGATCGCTTGAAATGCACTGATTGACTGAAAAGTCGATTGATTTTTTTGTTTGGTATATTTTGAGTCTGTAAACTCTGCATCAGTGTGGAAACTCAAATTACCTCTCAAGTTAGTTAACTACCGTGCAGGTAATTTTGGCACGAGTGTGAAATTTGGTCACGTTAAGTAATTTTTTACTTAATGTAGAGGTTGTTACCGCACATGACCAAGTTAACAACCGCAAACGAGTGCGGATGCTCTAACCAGGATATCAAGATGGAAACACATGTAGAACAAAAATACAAACAACTTTTCCTGCAAGGTAAAGTTGTTTTTATCAGTGAGGAAAGCGGGAAAAAGCGAAAAACTACATAAGTGGACTTAACTCGTGGAGTCTCCGTGCCAGGAACTCACGATTAGTCCCAAGCCCCTCTGCGAGGCGCGCGGACGGCGCCGCGCAGAGAGGGCTTGTTCAAGCTAATATCAAATGCTACGAATGTTCCCCCCACAGTAGTCAATCCACAACAGAGCCTTTCCCCACCGCGTGACCTTGTGATGGATTGTCGTACAGAGGTGACGAGAAGACAGACTCAGCAGTCAGCAGACCAAATCAAGAGCATTTAGTTGCAATATGTATGGAGCCCACTCATGGAGCTTGGCGCAAAAATAGGAAGCATGGCAAAAGTTACAAAGGGTCGCGCAAGCAAAGTCGCGCATCAATTGTTTTTGCATGTATGATCCAGATCAGGGCTTCACGTGATTACCTCGCCACCCATATTTATGACGAAAACGGAAACTTGCCGGAAACTTGAGCAAGCCTCTCCATTCAATTTTCCATAAACTACTGAACAGTTCTGTTCTTAGCGCTCACGCTCCAGAAAACAGGTGAAGGAGAAAAACGTTAAATCGAATATCCACCAACCTCCGAAATTTATACGAAAAAGTCGTTGATTTGTGCACAGCCTGAGCCAGCCTCCAGGCACAGGCTATAGCCTATGCCGACCCGATTCATTCCATTTCGTGGGGTAAATCAACTTGACCTATCCTTCCGAAGAAGCAGAAGACTCTATTTGCGGTGGAGGGGCAGTGCGAGGAGAGCACGATACAGCACGATCCGTGTGGGCGCATTTCTTCGTGGAGGAAGCACTTTGCATTAGTTCGCTATGACGTACTTCTGAAGGGTATATAAAGCGCAGTGGTAGCCATGGAATGGTCTGACTCCATCCTCCTCCATCAGTAACTTATCACAATCTTCAAACCTCAGAGATCTTACCGTCCCAAACCCTTCATTCAAAACAGTCTTGAAATGCTTTTAAACGTCGCCTCCGTGCTTGTTACGGTCTTATTCGCCAATGTCTTGGTAATCGCAGAAAATTTCCCGGCACCTTCCGCCAACAAGGGACTCCCTAGTCAATGTGCCAAATGGAGGGCAGGTTTCGGAAAGCCCCAAGGCGTGACTGCTCATCGAGTAAGTATTCGTTGTACATAGCTTCTATTATCCTAAAAAACGTTAACCGATCCTCTAATACGAACAACTTTTCTGCATAGCTTACCGGTCACCAAACTGACGCTTTGCAAAAGGAGACCACTGAGTCAACATTGAGGCGTCGAATTACACCAGAGACTCGCGTAAGCCCCTCTCTTTGATTCTTGTTTGGAATTTGAGAGTTGATCCGATCCGTGCTTTTACAGACTAGCAGGATTCATGGATCTTCAGGAAGAAAAGGTGTAAGTGATCCATTGTATCCCTCTGTGGACGGCTTATTGATATCATTTGGAAATTCAGGCATGTGGTGTGCCTTATGACGGCTCCCAGCATGTGGGGTGCATTTGGAATGGTCAAGGCCACGACTCCGTACTCGGCGCTACCTCTGGTTGGCTTACCGGGTTAGTTCATGATCCATTCATACTCAGTTGTTTGATCTGCACCCATCGGTTCACTTCTTGCTTACATTTCGTGACCTCGCATCTTTCTGAAATCAGGGACGCGACTGGTCAAACAAATTGTTTCAAGAAAATGTAGGTGCTCTTCTGTCAACCCTGTAATAATTATCAGAGATTGACCCAATCATTTACTCAGTTACGTACAAGCCAATGGAGCTACTGTCTACGGGTGGGTCACTGACTCGTGTGCCATCGCCGCACGAGGAGAGGCTCTTCCCATTGATGTTGGATGTTCAAGCATCTACCTCTCCGACAAGGTATGTGTTGAGATAACTTTGAACCTCTAAGTGATTTGCTCTGACTGACCGTTATGACTTTGTTCGTAGATGTTGGAGGACCTTCAATTCAAGAACAATGAAGGAACTGTTCAGATTGACTCTTGGGACTTGTGAGTTATTCTTTCTTCATCCTATTCACGTCAATTGCTAACTCAGCTTCCTCCATCAGTGACCAATCCAACACCCCTTGGTAAACATGGATAAAACTCGACCTTTGAGTTTTGAGCTATAGTCCAATTTCCTATCCTATCGTTGCTTATCATTGCTGTACCGTATCTGTGACAGACAATATTTTCTGAATATGCTCAGTTATAACTTGGAGCAATGAACTCGAAAGATATCTTAACAAGTTTTGTGAAAGCCATCTCTAATGATGACACCTTCCCACTTCTGAGTCTACTCTTGTGTCACAAATGAACTTGATCAAATTCCAAAACATTTCCCTATCTTCGATCAGATATTCACGTCATCCATAATTTGTTGAGTATCATAATCTGTCAAAGGATTATGATCGCAATGAGTTATAGCTACTATGGCACTTCTTATTTTTGGGAATCTCCACCTGACTGTATATCTCCTCCCACAGCGTGCTGTCTGATGTACAACATCGACAACTATTTGGTCTCTGTACGCGAATTTATACCACGATTCTTTTTTAACAGCCATTGGCTATCCAAATACTGTATTTATGGATAGCACTTTCTGAAATTATTGGCTACCTTTTCAAAGTTGTTTGATGCATTGCTTTCTTAAGCTCAAGACTCACATCTCTTTCGTCTCTCTGTATACGGTCTTATCGGTCAAATTTTGCCTAACATAAGTCTTAGAGAACTTTGGTATCTCAGAGCAAAACGAAACAGTTGAATTTGTCAAGGACTTTCAATAAAGATGCTACAAAGCTAGAATGAATGTATCAGACATACATATATGATGATTAGATAAAAAGAGTATGAAAATGTTCCTTTCTAAGATACAATTTGGATTGATAAACGATCAGCTGCGACTACAAGTTGCGAGACATATTTTGAGACAGATGTGACTAAAGATAAGACGAAGAAGAAATTTTTGAAAAGACAAAAAACCAGTCACTCGGACTGTACCCATTGTGGTATTTGTTTTACAATTTAGATAAGTAGAAAGAAATTAAGAAAGATCGTTTCAAGAGTTACGAACATCTGAAATGGCATGAGGTGGCCAAGGTCGAATAGTATGAGGAGATCGAGTAAGACTCATGGGTGATAATGGGAATTCAGATCTTTGAGCGCTATTTCTAGTAGGACTACCTATTGAACTAAAGGTACCTTGGCTCTTACAATCTGAGTCTTCATCAGGACAAAGGATGAAAGAAATACATCCTTTCTTGACTGGTGAAGGGCTTCTTGATGGGTTAAACCATTCGGTTATGGAGGGTAAACTGTTATTACCGATACTTGGACCCGATGGAGTAACAGGTGATTGGCAGTGAACTCGAGGAAATTCGGTAAGATGCGTTCTGATAGATGGTGGAGGGGTTTTACGCTTTCGAAGATTACGAGATTCTCGGGAACGATCGAGGTTGAGGTAAAGGTCATCATGATTGGAAAAATCATTTTCCCAGTCAAATGGCTTTGGACCATCAATTTCGACTTTGAAGCCATCCTGATTTTCTTCGCCCATTCGTACAAATTTTCGTGGTGGAAAGTGCGCATCGGCTTCGCTCACATTTCGATCATCAGATTTACGTTTGTTGGTTAGGACTTTGAGGCATTTGTCATGCGAAGTTACATCGGGGATGGAAGCTTTTGTGGAGTTGACAGAGACGTTCGAAAGTGGTGACGAAGGTACCTTGGGGTTGACGGGTTCAACTTTATTTATGTTTGCGCCCAAAGATTGCAAGATCTCGTTGACCTCCGGTGACTTGTAGAGCGATACACTTGCCATGGGCAAGGCATGGAAGAGGTGTTCCGTCTTGAGTCTAGCATACTCGAGTCGTGAAAGGTAGACCTGAACCGTTCGAAGACTCACACCGGATTGTTTGTCTTTTTGTCGGGTCGCAGATAGAAGCACAGATTCTCTGAGCCAAAGAGAAACACGAACTGACTCCACAGGGAAACAAGGAATTCTATTGACTAAGCAAAAGTTGCGATATCTTTTAAGAGTATGAAGGTGAGGATCAGGCTTGTATTTTGGTTTATTTTGTTTTTGAGGCGTGGTAGGCGGTGTGTTGACTCTAGTTGCATCCAGGTCAATTTCGCGAGCGTCTTTGACAATCGCCATAGCATCCTCAGTTTGATCTTCTGAAATGTTTGTGAGATCATTGATGCAAAGTCAGTTATGGTTCCTCGCAAAGAAAAGTCGACAGAAAGATTGCTTACCACCAGAATTATTCCTAATCATCATCAATACTCGATCTCGGACAGTCTCTATTCCGGCATCGTCGTGTTCAGGAGTGTTGAAGTCCAAGGCAACTCCTAATCTTTCTTCAAGATTGTCTCTATCACAAGAGAGAGTGTCGAGAATCTCTTGAATCAAAGGGCTATGCATGAGGTGACCGCCAATTTGACCATCAAGCTTGAAGATGTTTCTAGTCTTGACTCTGCAGCTCTCGAGTGTTGTAACATAGCATCTTACAGTCTTTCTGAGTGGTTTCATTCGACTATTTTTGACGGCTGAGATGACATCATTCTTGAGCCATATACCAACTTTGAGATGATCGATGGGCCATGCGATCAATTCAACGGAACGGCAGAAATCAAGGTAGCGATCCAGTAGATAAATGAGACGATCGAATGTAGTGGTCTTTTTCTTCTCTAGCTGGGAGTTATTGACAGGAAGCTGAGATTGTCTACCATTAATTGTTAATTGATGAGCTTCATGATTTCGCTCGGGTGTAGCACCAACGCCTAAAGAGCAGAGAGATCATCAGACATGATAAGTTTCAAGATAGGATACGAGAAGACGCAATCTTATTAAAGTGAGAAACATGAAGATACACAGCCACTAACGTTTAGCAATGTCGTTAAGCATAGGAATCAAATCCTTTTCACATTCGTCAAGAGATTCAAGAGAAGTGATGGCCAATAAATCAGAATTTCTGAAGCCATGGCCGGAATCAGATTGAGAAAAGATGGAAGACAACATTCTTGATGGTACATCCTCATCTCGTGAATCGTGTTGTTTCATCATCATATTCATGAAAATAATAGTAAAGCAGGGTGGTGAGACGTGAAAGTGAGTAGATAGGAGTTTCTTGAACAATTATTGCAGAAGGAATTGCGAAGAGGATAGAGGTTATATAGACGGAAGGGAAGAGTTGGGTGAAAGGCACTTTGCATAAAACAGATATCGTGATCAGAAATATAGCCGTGGTCAAGATTGTGGCACATCAACAAACAAACAACGATGCAACCAGAATTGTGTGAGCATGGTCTCGTATTGTTGGACTTGGCTCTCAACAAACCACCCACACATAAACGCTCACATTGCTCGAAGAGCATCGTGAGCGGATCTGCGGGAATAATTTCGTCTGAGTCAATTGAAGATGGCTAACACGTATGGGTTGCTCTGCTCTGCCTTGAGTTGAAGTCTATTATACCAAATTGAACCAAAGAGATTTTTACCCATCATATGTTTTGATTGACCGAGACCTTCGGATCAACTTCGATAAGGCTGAGAATGCTGGGGAGCGTCTACTTCACCACGAGTAGATCATATCCAAACGTGTGTACTATTATGGATCCGATTTTCCCCTGGAGAAGGCCTCGAGGAAATTACAGCAAGAAAATTAGCACCCTACATTTCAAACGTCAGCTTAATCATACCCATGATGTGGACTTTCTTAATCTTTGCTACATACGACCTCATACGACCCTGGGCAGTAAATGAAGATATATGGGTTAAATGGTGTACACATGAAAACAGGGTCACAACATCCTCACTTGGCGAAGTCTCTCGATCGTTGCGAGGCGCTCCAACCTCGCAAGCGGTGAGAAGCTCGTTGTTCTGTCAGAGAGGTTTGCACAATTGTCAGCTTCTCTTGATGGGCAAGCAGGGCTCACTCATCAATTGGCTGGAGACATCACTAAATCTGATACATAAAGTCTCTCCATAGACACCCAAGCTGGCGCGAAGCTTCTGCAGAAACTTTTAATTGACTTGCAAGACACGGGTCAAAGAGATTGATGTAATGAAGAGGAACGAACCCAAGGCGAATGTCATCAAATCTTGGTTGCAGCAAAAACGGGGTGTGGCAAGTTTGGCAACACATTGTACATACGCAACTGCAATCTTATTAAACTTATCCACGCCGTCGCTGCTAAACTTATCAAAGTCTACTCGGAGGGGGCCTTTGATAAGTTTACGTCGCTGTATCGGTTCGTTTCTAATCTAACGTCACTTATCGATATGTTGCGAGTCGAACTGGGTCGAACCACGCTGGGAGTCAAGATATAGTACATAGATTGCTGTGCCAATTCTCACATCGGAGAGCTTCACCCAACCGAGGTGCATTTGCCGTGAATAATGTTTGACCTCATTCAAGTGTTCTAGTCAAACCTGAGCAATCTGCTGCGCCAGGCTCCGTGGGTTTGACTCAAATAGAGAGATTGAGAGTCAAGAAGATTGAGATGTGAATGATGATGTTTACTTATTCATATGTATATGCTGACATAATCTTGGTTACATCATAGTAATTCACACTTGTGATCATAATGTGACATGACGTCATGTTTGATTTCGATCTTTAAAACAATCACTTGTCTCGTCATACCAATTCCCAAGTGCGACATACAGTCAAATCGGAAAAGCTTGACCGATTTTGCCCGCAAAACTCGAGCAATTTGGCGCGGAATTTGTGGCAAGCTTTTCTGGTTTGACTGTAATACTCTGACGCTAACTTAACACAGGCGGATTCCGCCTTCTCACCATATGCCACCTCATGACGACAATGGTATACCATCTTCTTGTTTGATGTTCATTACATCTTGGCTAAGTAAGCGCCCCGACAAAAATCATAACAGCTGGGTCAGATAGCATGGCCTTGTACCTATCCGTTTTTCTTTTATAATATGTGTAGCATTACCTTTCACACTTTGTATGTCCAGTAATGTGTTGGCGATACTTTTTTATTGCATCCAAACCAAGTGCTTTGTTACGTGACTGTGAGTTAATAATAGGGCGGTTCAAGAAGGGCTTTTACAGCCCTTTTTTATATTTTACATCTTGTTCGGGGTCTGTAAATTTTAAGTAAAATTTTAAGGTCGTGAACCACCTTTAGAGGTGGTTCACGGTTTGGCGATCTCGTAATCGGCCTTTAAAATTTTTAAATTCTGTCCCTGAATTTCCAAAAGACAGGGACAATTGAGCCGAAAAAAAGAATTACTTACATTCTTTCTTTTTTTTGTTCCTGGATTCTGACAATTTTTGGTCAAGAAAGGACCTTGTTTTCTTGTATTTTTTTTCTCGATGGCTTCCTCTTTCATTAACAAAAATTCTGTACAAAAACACAAGAAAACAAAAAAGAAAACAAAGCCAAAAAAAGACCGGTTGGGACTGTGTTCCTGAATTTACAAAGCTGTAAAACATAAGTTTACAGCATTCGCCGCTTTGCGATCAAGCTTTTTAAGGATTGAGCAACCTTAAAAAGACTGATCGCGACTCGGCGACCACGTTGCTTGCGGTTCTCTTCTTGAACCACCCTAATCTTTCACATGCTCCATCTCTATCATCTCGTAAGTTCAACTGATACACCACCAACCCCCGACCCGCAGCGCACTTCACTGCGCTAAAATAGCGGCTGCGCTGAGGACCAGCGCACCTAAATTCCCCAAAATAGCCACTGCGCCAGCGCGCACCACAGGGGCAGGCATAGTGATCACCCACTGCGCCGTTTCGCAGTGCAGTGCACCGCCTTTTGCGCAGTGTGCCCTTCACTGCGCATCCTGTGGTAGGTCCGCGCGGATATAAATCCCAACCTACTAATTTGTACGAAGGGGGCCAATTCCCCTTGCGTACTACTACTACTACCACCAACCAATCCAATCCGAAGCGACATGATTGTCATGTATGACGCAAGATCAGTCATCTGGCGTCATAGTCTTTCTCGATCGTCCATGGACTTTAGTATATTCATCGTCGATAATGGCCTTTGCCGAGCATCCTCACCCCTGGATTCTTGTTTTAGCTCGATCATATTCCGATCAACCAAGGCTTACAACTCAGTCTCAGATTCTGATCCAACCATCCTACTTCATTCACACTGCCTTCAAGTGTTGTTTAAATCTATCCCACTCAACATTTTCAATAATCTTCACTTTTTAAATTGTTATTTTACTTCATACTTCGACTTCCAAGTCTATACATTGCTCAAGAAAATTATTAGTATTACTATTATGGGCAAATCTAATCCAAAGTTAAGATCTTCAACCACTCAGAAACAATCCGAGTCTCAGACTCAGCCTACTACATCATCCACCAGGCCAGCTTCTTCTTGTCAACGTACTACTCAGGCAGTGATCTTAGATTCAGATGAAGAAATTGAAGAACAAAACGATCAGAACTTTCAAACTGAGGATGAAGGTGAAGGAAGCGTAGATGATCAGGAGAAGTCAAATGAAGACTCGTTTGATAGTAATGTCTCCCCTGCTGATGGTAAGCGCAATCGAAAAGCTGTCAAGAAATCGGTTAAAAAGAAGATGCCAGTGGTTTCGAAGCGCAAGAAAGTAAGTTCAACTTACACTCCAATTACATTAATGATGTTTGATTGCTAATGGACCTCTACTCTATATTACCTTCCAAGGCTAAGAACTTCAAATTACCTCAAAACATAAACCCTGATCAAGACTCTGATATTGAAACACCTCGTTCAACCGTCAATACCGAGGTTGACCAATTTGACGGAGTGAAAGAATACTTTTCCAATATGTACACCAAAGAAGTGGTATGCCTCACTTTTCATTTATGTTTCTTATTTTTTTTGTTTTAGATTTCATGAATTTGTTTCAATTATCACCAAACTGACATTTTTCAACCACCACTAACAGAAAGACGGCGAAATCGCCTCGTATCGCGACTGCTTATGGTGTAAAAAACCTTACAAGATCGGTAAGAAGAGCCAGTGGAATCTAAAAGGCCACCGTGATGGTGACGTTGGTCGGCAAGAATGTGAAGGACGGCTCAAGGCGATCGCCGCTGGTGCTAATCTCCCTCCAACGTGGAAAACGAGGCAAGCTGCAAAAGTTGCCGCAGAAGAAGCCGAGAAGTATCAACACGAGAAAGCCGGCATCGAATCTTTCTTGAACTTACCCAAGTTTACGGTTGGTCTCTTCAACATGATCCTCGTCCTATGGCTTCTTCGAAATTCGATCCCATGGCTACGCATGGAAGACCCTTATCTACAGGCCGCATTTTCTCTATGTAATCCAAACGCAACACTTTGGTCGGCGTCGTGGTCGGCTCGTCGGGCAATGCAGTACTTTGAAGAGTTTCGAACCAAGTTGGTTCACACCCTTCAGGTAAACTTTTGATATCTATCTCTTTCATATCAATATATGAAAGAGATTTCTAAGTACTGATCATTGGATTTTGTCCACAGGCCCTCAACTCGAAGATTTGTGTCATACACGACGTATGGACCACCAAAGGAGGGAAACGAGCTTTTATCGGGGTTGCGGTTTCTTACATAGACGAAGACTGGCACTTTCATGTCACTCACCTGACATTGAAGCTAATCGCATGGAATCATTACGGCGCGTTACTAGCTCGGCCTGTAGGAAAGTTTCTGATTTGACATGGTCTTCATAAAAAGATAGGTTTCCATATCTTTTTCTTTTATCTTTTCCTTACTCAAATTTAACAATAATTGAACTAATTTCATGTTTTCCTTAATTATACATGATAGCGCAGACCACGGACTCAGGATCAAGCAACCCCATTTTAGCAAAAGAACTTCAAAAGATGTTCATGGATTGCGATGACCCAATCTTCTGGGACTCATCATGGAATCAAATACGATGCTACTGCCACAAGCTAGCTTTGACAGTCAAAGCCGGACTGGAAACAATTGGATTAGGTGATCATGGTAGAACAAAACCAACGATTCCATCTGGAAAAAGGCTTCGTCTACTCCTTCCTGACGATCATCTCCCTGCCCCGAAGATCGTGATGGATGATGGCACCGTAGTAGATGAAGATGGCGACATGTTAGAAAATGGCGATAGTGAAAGTGAGGAGGGTGTGCAAGTTGAAGCAGGCAAGGATATCGAAGCCAGCGATGATTCCGAAGATGATGAGACGGCACCCGACTACAAGCTCCAGAAGCCAGATGCAGCTCTCTTACCTCGGGCAGTAACAAAAGTAAGTTCACTTGATCCTCTCACCACAAACACAAAATGATTCATTAACTGATTTGTTGATTGCTGAAGGTACGAAGAACCAATAAATTGATCACTTCCAGTGCACCACGACTTAATCATTTCAAGACTTGTGCAACTCAGCTGGGATATGTAGGTGCAGGTCTGATTGCTGCGCATGGACAACGGTGGAACATATGGTTAGACGCCCAAACTCGCTTGTGCAAAGCGAAATCAGTAAGTATTATTGGGTTTTTTTTATTTGGCTATATATTGATATATTGTTTGGTATCTAGGTGATTAATTTCATGATCAATGAAGATCAGGAGGGCTTCTATGAAGGTATTACTATTACTCCTGATGAATGGAAGGCTATCGAGGCTTTGAATGAAGTTTTGGGTGTGAGTATTTTTGTTTTCATCAACATTTTCGAAAGTAATCTTTCTCTGATTTTGCCCTTATCTCTCTTTCAAATTGTTCATTTTGCAGTGCTTTCTACGATCGACAAAGAAAATGGAAGGCGACGGGCCAACCGGTGCATCTGTTCTGTTTCAATACTCAGGTTTGATATCGGTTCTTGTCAACATGAAACAAACAACGCCGCATCAAGGCTTATCCGTCATGATCGGTGGAATGATCAACCAGCTTTGTGAATACCAAACCGAGTCACTTCACTGTGACCCTATTGTGATGGCCACGATTCTCAATCCGAGACTTCGACTCGAATACTTCAAAAATAAGTATTCCGATTACGCGGCTCGCGCTGAGGACTTATTCCGCCAGACTTTTTCTCAGTACGAGAAAAATAATCCACTATCTGCATTGAAGACTACCCCTGAGGCCAACCATGAAACTGATTGGCCTTTCGATCCACTTGACGAAACCAACGTTTTTGGCACTTCGGCTACGGTAGTTTTATCAAGTGATGACGAACTTAATCAGTACTTCTTGGGCATGCATCCATGCGAGAGTGACATGGATATCCTGGATTGGTGGCGAGTAAGTATAAATTTAATGCACTGCCACCTCTTTTCTTTATGTAGCATGGCTGACTTCATCATCTACCGCAGCGCAATCAAATGCGATTTCCCAAAATTGCCAAGCTGGCTCGTGATTTTTTGGCATGTGTAGGATCTTCTTGCGCAGTTGAAAGGACCTTTTCAACTGCGGAAATCGTATGTTCCAATCGACGTGGTGGTTTAACTTCAAGATCAATTGAGCGAGCTGTTGGGGTCTGTCAATGGCTCAAACAGAAGTTTGTCCCAGATGGTGAGCTCGGAAAGGCAGTTGTAGCTGTGGAACAGCTGATTGCAGGTCTGAAGAAGAAGAAAAAGGTAGCAAATGTGTAGATTATTTAATCTACTTTCATTTTTCATTATCATTGTCTCTCAGATTTTTTTTTTTATATTTCGCTCTGATTATCTCCTACAACAAGTTTTGTACAAGTATTGTGTGTGCTTTCTCATGGGTATACTTGTTCCCATTTTTTTTCCCTCGTAATAAAAACAAACCGCACTTTTTCTCCCCTGCGCTGCGCTGTACTGCGCTGTCGACAGCGCTAGGGAGCTCCTTCTTTTCAACCACTGCGCGGCTTCCGCTGCGCTGCGCAGTGTTCAGTGCCCCTTCAACAAGCCCAGCGCAATTTTTGCGTAAAGTGCGCTGCACTGCGCTGGGGACGGGGGTTGACACCACAAATCCTACTAACCACACCCCACTTTAGCACGCAAAAAAGCATTCCTGCAATCACTTTGCAATATTGTTGAGTACATACAAGCTCTGAATGGTTGTAAGAGCATTTTACTATAGGTAGATCTGAATGCCAGCTGATAATGTAGTCAATTCAGTTGAAAAGTGATGATGATAAATATTATACTAAGTGCATACATAGAAACATGGTTGATCAAACAAAGCCTTAGGCTTTCAGTTCCCCAAGAGGTCATTTTGAAAGACACAAAAAGGAAAGGTTTTGTTGACCTACCTTGGTATCTGAAAAGGAACCTTGTTCTCCACTATATCACCCTTCTTGGATGTAATCAGAGTCTACAAGATAATATCAAGAACTGAAAAGTTACCTATTCTAATTACATATCTAGCAGATGGCATCTGTGGATGAATGGAAAATCAGAAGCAAAGGGATATGAATCATGATCTCTTTTTTACTCTGATGAGGCCTTCAGCTTGAATAGACTTTCAGGCTTCAATGTATGTATCTCCAAAGCGGTTCAGGAGAGGTTGAAATGACATAAAATGTTCAAATCTCTTGATTGTTCAGTTCTTTCCTCAAGAGTGTTGACTTTAAAAACTGTTTGTGTCTCATCTGTTTGTGACAATTCAATATGTAACAATATGCTTGTAGACAGGTCCAATGCTCCTGTAATTTCCGTATGTATCACAGTCTACAGACCATTGACATCTGGATCGAATTGAAGTCATCGTTCAACTCAACATACCATTGGCATCACCCTCTCGATATCAGGACTCCGTTCAATTATTTATACATCTTATCAAATCGTATTCGCTAACAGATGAATATGGGTGCTACCGGATCCAAGTCTAGCTCGTCTTCCGGTTCTCAAAACGTTGGATTCAAAGTCGAAAATGATGAACAAGTTTATTTTAAAATCGGTAACCCAGTCCAACTCGATCAATCATTAATTGACCGGGTACGTCAGATTCAATAAAAAGAACCCTTATTCACACGACATAAGATCTTGACGAATTGATGGTAGCATTTCTAAACTTGATTCTCAAACTCAAAGCTAGCAGAACCATCAACAGAACCGAACCCAAGTCGACAAATCAATTTAGATGAATCCGTCAAAAACAAGCTAAAAGCAGATTTAAAGAATTTAAAGAATTTAGAATCAGAAGTCGAATCAAAAGTTTCAAAAGCTTTTAAAGAACAACTTGGAATTTCAAATCATCAATCAGATCCATCAAGTTCTTCTAGTGCAAAACTTATGAAAGATTTATCTAACCTTCAACAAAAAGTGGAAGAATTTAGAGTCCGGAATTCTTCTGGAATGTGGCCTGAGATCGTTTCTGCTCGTACTTCTATCGTCTCTTGTTTATCGTTAGTTTGGATTTTGTTTATTCTCATTCTTGCTCTGACCTACAATATTGAATTTATAAATTTAACTGATTCTTAATCTTTGAACCGAAATAGAAAAAATCAACACCAAACTCTAAATTGTGGCGAAGAAGTTGAAAGTTTCAAGCAGCTGGTCCATAAGCTTGAGAGTGTAAGTCACATTTACTTTCAAACTTTAAAAATTTCTGATAATCAAAAGCATGAACTAATTTCCCTCCAATTGATTCAATTCCCACCAAAAGGAATACGTAGGTTCTTTGAGGCCTTAGTTGGTATACCTTTAATTTTGAAATGTCCTACAATTGTAAATTTTTCAGCGTACAAGCACTTTGTATATCTGAGAAATTGGGGACGTCAGGATGTTTGGGGCTGAGTACAATAACGTGTGACTTTGTAATCTGATGCAGTGAATAAAATTAGATGTTAGACTTGATTTGGGTGACCCAAAAGTAAGAACATAATGATAAATTCATAACTCCTTGATCTATCACCTTCACCAGATTCTTCAGGGGTTGAAACTTTATTGGAATTAACTATAACAGGTCAGGGCTAGAGAGCTTCAGTTTTGGCTCTAAACAAGGATTGAAGCGTGAAAAGTATTGATGAAATTGATTTGTAGGCTCAGAGTCAACATGAACTCAGTTCATGTCTCCTCTTTTTTTTAAAAAAGTGTGATTTTGCTTGATTGTATATTACACTAACTAAACTATTACATAGGAGACTAGTGCACCAGAAAATACAATCATCTACACCATGCCCGTCCCCCATGAGCACGTCGATGTGCTCACACGGAGAGTTGTGTAATAAATTTGAACGGATCTTTATTCAATTTGTCTCTAGCAAATGCAAATCCTTTGTTAATAATAATAGACAATCAAAAATGTACCGTTTGTCAATGGAACTATGAACAAAGGAGCCCATTTAACACTCTTGCTGTCTGAACCTCTTCACAAAGGCAATTGTATGCTTAGCTCTCAGACCTGTTTGTAGGTTATATCCACCCTCTACGGAAATTGATTGGTGTGAGCACGTCGACATGTTACCTCAAAACAGACATGGTGCTAGTTGGTTCAAGAATTAAAGTTGTCTGTATATTGTTACACAATTGCAAAGTTATCTTCTTTTTTTTGAAAACAGAGAGTAACAGTGACAATTTAGTTTGCATACTCATCCCCAATGTAAGGTGGAAGGTAAGGAGCCCAGGGATTGTTTGTTCTGTCGGGGATGTTTACCATTTGCGATGTTTCTCTTGGAATTTCCTACAAATGCAGGGATTTGAGCAACAGTGACAGTTACACCAGGGGGGGTCCTGACCGGCGTGTGTTGGTCATATGAGTCCGGCTGCAGGCAAACGTCCCCTACGCAGTGAAAGGTGGTTTCCATGTGGTCAGTGGGGCGACAAATACTCCTGGATGTGGAGGCGTTGTCGTGCTCAGCCCACAAGCAGACACGATGAGAAGTTCATGAGTACTGAGTATGAGTATATACTCAACTGATACTCACTTTGTACGGGTTTACAGGGCCAAAAATAGGCAAAATTATTGTGCTGAGATAATCCTTGGCTAAAGAAGCCAAAGAATGGTACTTGCTGAGGTGCTCATGTAGAATAGAGTAAAGTCAGCTATCTACAGGTGAATGCATGAAAGAAAAATGGACAATCACTCGACCAAACCAGAGCACATTTTGGATCCATGAGTTTGTCCAGATTGTCAGAGGTAAGAGGGTCTAAGCCTGAAAGATATTGATCTAACTCTCCCAAATTATTTGAAGTGTTGGCGTGTTTGTACAGCTGAAATACTTTTGCCACCTTCTGTTTGACTGAGTTTGATTTCATCATGTTTGCTCAAAAGAGCAGAGGCTTCAGAATTGATTTCTTCTGGATGTTGAATGAATCAAGATCAAAGTAGATCTTCAGCATGTTTGGCCATTATGTCTTCTTCTCCAAATGTGAGACCAAAGCAGCCAAGTCTGAACCTGGGGTGAGGGATGGTCCCAAGAACAAGAGAGTCACAAGCTGGGGCTTTGTCTATGTATATACAAAGTGGCTTTTTGAAAAATTGGATTCATCATGGGGTGAAATTGATTGTTGTCTGCAAGAGATTCCAGGCAATCAGTGGGAGAATTGATAAGTTCTGCATACTCATGTGAAACCATACATCCAGTCACCATGTCTGTCTGGTGTTTGCCCCTTGAAAAGCACACACAAGTCGCCTTTGTGCCTCAAAGGCAGTCCATGTGCGCTTGTTGTCAAGAGACTGCCACAAGGTCCTGATGAGTAGGGCCATATCCCCTCATTTTTTGACACAAGTCACGCAAGGGCTGTTGTTTCAAACAGTGATTAGCTGGTCTGATAAATCAGATTCAAAATCAAAGATGGTCACACTATATAAAATTCATGAATGACTTCCTGCTCGAGAGACTCCCAATCACCAACACTGAAGACCAGCTCCTCCATGTTTTGCTGCATTCTTTTGAAGACATTGTTTCTTGGCTTGGACCTTGGCAAGATCAACCTTCATTGTTTAATCAATAATCTTGAGGATGCAGTGAGAGAACTTCCTACATCAGATTGATTGTAATTTCATCATGAAAAGAACTGCCAAAGTACTTACATCTTGAGCAGCATACATATGTTCCTGTTGATGCAAATCAATATTTCATTGCACACCATACTCAGCAAAAAGAGCAAGGAAATGTAGTTGTTTATCTTCTTTATGTGTATGCATTCTTTGGAACACCAGGTCTTCTGAACAATGCCAACATACTTAATCAAACATCTCTCTTTGCTGATTTTCTCACTAGTTCAGCTTGTCTTTCTTTAAAGTTCATAAATTGATACTTGGCTTGTTCAGGTAAAGTCAAATTCAACTTTGTAGTGAATGGACACCTGTACAAACATCTCATAGATGGCATCTATCCAAACTGGCCAACAATCATCAAAGCCCCCTGTGATTGAGAAGCTACAGCTCAAGAGGCTGCTCAAAATTATGTTGAGCATGTATACTTGGAGTGACTCAGATGCAATTTGAATTCCTTCAAATACCATGTCACATGTGGCAACTGGTAGATATGCATGTAGTTATGATGTGTTGCATTTTTCTGTGCAACATGATAGTGGGGGATTGAGGCTCACTAGGAAACCTTATCCTGAATTCATTTATCTAATAAACACCATCATTTTCTAACTAGTTTTTTTCAATTTCATACCCCTTGTAAGAACATTACAAGTGAATCCAGGTGTATGATTCCCAATCAGGAAAATTTCCCAGCTTTTCAATCACTAGCGGTGGAAGAAAAATCCCATGTCCATCAACCATAGCATGCAGCTGCAGGCCCAATCAATGTTCAAAGATTCCAAGCATAGAGAACGTGAGATTCTAATAAATATGATATAAATTGGACTTTAATGATGAACAAATACTTGAAACTCATCTTAAAACACACAAATTACCTCAAAAGTGGCCTTACAACTTTTTTTTATAAAATGATTCATGCATATATATCATACCAAAAAATAAACAATGCATACTGGGTGAGTAAATCCTTTGTGATTGACATATAACCCACTGCCTTAGGTCTGTACAGTAAACCATCAGTTTAATGACCTTTTCTTACACCCATCTACTAGTGATTGATACTCTAAATGTACAACTTATATCCATTAATAAAAACCTCTCATGTGTTAGTGTTATAAACCAAACCCAACAAAAGTTAAAGAATTTCTCAATTATTACCCCAAAAAAATCAAGTTATGTACTTCAAAAAACCAAAATTACATCAAAAAAAGCTTACATTATGTATTCAGAATAAAAATCTTTTAAACTAAACTTATGTCAAGAATAATTCAAGACCAAAAAACACAAAAAAACAAATAACACAATCATTATTGATGTATAAGTTTATATACTTGTATCTATATACACCCACTTCATTTTCATTTTCATTTCTCCGTCTCCTTCTCATTTTCATTTCTCATTCTCATTCTCATTCTTGTTTTCATTTTCATTTTCATTTTCATTTTCATTTTCATTTTCATGGTTGTTTTTTGAATTCAAGTCAATTCTCATTTCATTCCAAAACCTCTTTCCCTTTTCCTTTTCCATTGTCGTTTCCTTGAATGTTCTGTATGCCTTCATTCTTCTCTGTTTGTTCAATTTCACATACTTTAATTTTGTCTTTGTCTTCATCTTTGTCTTCATCTCGATTAAGGTCTTCATACTTCTCTTCATCTTCATTAAGATCTTGATGATCATGTTGATGTTGAAGTTGCTGATCGAGTTGAAGTTGCTGATCATGTTGAAGTTGATGATCATGCTGTAACTGAAGTTGATTCAAATGATGCTGATGAAGTCTCAACCCATGTTCAACCGGAGCAAACGACCAAATCCTAAAAAAAGAAAAAACCCCAATTCTCAATTCAATTGAAATCCATCTATCTATAAAAAGAAAATCGATTTAAAAAAACTTCACAATTACATACCTTACTTCTCCATCATCTCCTCCACTAATGATCTTATCATCACTTAATCCAATCGTCATCACCGCTCCTCTGTGTCCTACGATCGTATGAATACATTTCCCTGTGATCCTATCCCAAATCTTTAATGATCTATCATGTGAACCACTATAAAAACCAAAAAAAAACAGATTTCAAAAAACCGTTTGATTTTTTCAGGAGAGAGATCAAAGTTACCTAACCACTCTTAATCTATCAGCATCAACATTCCAAACCCCTTGAATATGTCCAAACATAGTTCTCCTACACCTTCCCTTCTCCAAATCCCAAACCTTTAAACAATTATCCAAACTACCAGAAACCAAGACCGGTTTTTTACCCCTCAAGACTCCGTTCCCAAAGATCGGTTCAAGTTGATCTTCATTACCATCTCCATTCGTTTCGACTTGTTCATCATTCTCAACTTCATCTATGGTAATCAGTTTAATAGATTGGACTTGGGCCATATGACCTTCTAAAACCCTTACTGTCTCTCTTCGATCTAAATTCCAAACTTTTATTAATCCATCATCTGATGCTGAAAATAATAATTTACCTGTTGGATTAGGAGTTGAAGAAGTTGAGGGTGATGGGGTTGGACCGGTTGAAGTGGTTGTAGAATGGATTGGATTGGATGGTGACCATATCTCCACTGAATTCACCCATTCTCGATGGCCTCTTAGAACGAATCCTCCACCGGTTTTAAAGTTCCATATTCTTATTGTTCCATCCGCACTACCACTCTATCAAGCAAAAGAAAAGAAAAAAAATGCAAAAAGTTAAGAGAATCAGTTAAGTTGAATTAAAGTTACAAGAGATTCGTAAAGAATGGAAAGACGAACCGCCAAGATTTCTTCATCAAACTTTAAACAAACCACACCTTCTTCATGAGCCTGAATACTTCTCATACACTCACCCGTTCTCCAATTCCAAATCTTAAGGTTCCCATCCATAGCCCCAGTGATCAATTTACTCTTATCGAATTGTAAACATCTGATCCCTCTAGTATGACCTTTTAAAACATTCATAGTTTCTTTAGTTTCTAAATTCCATACTCTTATAGTTCGATCCCAACTACCGGTCATCAAGATCGGCCATGATGGTGATGTGAAGTGTTCTTCTAGTTGTAAACAGGTGATCGAATCTGTATGTCCACTTAGGATTGTCTCCTCATAGATTCCTTTGCGCCAGTTTCGTTCTAGGGCTAATCTTTCGGTATACACCATCTTCCATGGTTTGGTAGGTGTACGACATGTTGGGGTGGGAATCGGATTAGGAGGATTTGGGGATCGGATTGGGTTGGTGAACTTGGTGGAAGTTGTGGTGGAAGTAGAAGCAATCAGATCGGTCTCGCCATCATCTCTTTGACAAATCCGTTTGTTTGGATGTAAATGAATCGAATCTGAGGTCTGATCGTGAGTTTCTTTACTTTTGATAGTTGATGTGGATGGATCCATCCGTTTGCGTTTTTCCATCAATGGTAAACCCCAACCACATTTCGTACATTTCTTTTCAATATGTTGTTCACACATTAATCTCCAAATCAAATCATCATCCGACAATTTTTTCCAAAGCCTTGAAACCTGTGCCGATTTACCCAAACTGATTGCATCAACATAACACAAAATCTTTAAACTAATCTCTTTAGGTAACCTACTAAAAGGATCAATTCTACAGACTTTCTTTAATGAATCTGTTAAGAATCGGAGTTGGGATGGACAACAGATTGTGAGTAGACCGCTTAGGATTAGTCTACGACGTTGGGTGTTTGAGGATGAGAAAAGTCCCCAGGCTGTGTTGATGGCTTCTTGATCGGATTCTGGTAAGGTTTCGATCTCCGCTTGGAGTTGTCGGTTCGTGCCTTCGTTCGCCATTCTTTGATGACGTGGACATAGTTTGGCACAGTCTCCTCCCCCGGGTTTTCCATTTACCATGCCTGGATGGATTAAATGTGAAGATTGATGATCTGATACTCCGAATGCACTAACTCTGTAATTTCCTGATGAAGTTTGATTCATATGGTGTTGGTTTTGAGATTGGTTTGAGATTGAGATGGTAGATGATGATGATGGTTGATTGAAATCGATGGATGTAGTACTAGTGTTATTGGGTATAAAGTTAAATGGGTTTGGATTGAGTAAGAAATCAGGTGAATTGATTTGTTGAAGTGGTAGTTGAACATGGTTGTTGTTGTTGTTTTGAATAGTATCAGTAGTAGTAGTAGTAGTAGTAGTAGTATCCTTAGTGATGAGTTGATTGTTTGACTGATTTGATGTTCTCATCTTGAATGAAAATCAAAACTACTTTTGATTTCGATATTTTGGTTTATGGTGCTTTGGTTTTGGGATTTTGATTTTCGATTTTTTTTACATTTTATAGTAAATTTAATTTTAATTTTTCTCTGACGTAACTTCAACTTTCGATCACGTCATATCATTATCACTATCACTCTATCATGCTATCACTCTATCTATAAACTATTTTAAAACTAAGAGCATCCGCAGCCGTTTGGTTTAAAATTGGAGTTAGTTCTAACTTAACTAAGTCCCTGAGAGCATCCACTATGATTAGGGTTTTTTATTGTAAATTTTGCGGTCCTTGATCGCAAGAATTGATCATGCGTGTTGTAGCTAAGGGTACGTTTGGTAGCGATTATTTTTGGCGATTATTGTGAATAATAGCGATTATTTTGCAAAATAATCGCTGTTAAAAAAAGATGTTTGGGACCACTTATGGTACCCAGAAATAAACTCCTTCCCCGTCCCAAAAGGAGTTTAAAACGGGACTTTGGATAAACGCCAAAAGGGAGTTTATCAGTGCAATAAACTCCCTTTTGTACTTCACAAAATTTCATCTCAAAAGACTTCAACCCTCCTCAATCGATCCAATATGTATTCACTTCATAAGATGCTTGTTCTTTGACTCAATCAACATCTTCAACACTACACCATCATACTCAAGACTCACAAGCCAATCTTTGCTTCTACTCCTTGCTTTCTGTGTAAAAAGTTGTCTTTTGTGATTGTACAAATGAAATCTTGAAAACCAATTTTGATTGAAGGAACGAGTTATCAATCGTTCAATTTCCAGTCAATTTTGCAATTTCAATCAATCGGTCAATTTTAAAACAATTTTTCAAAACCAATCAATCATTCAACTTCATTCTATCAATCTCAATCAGTTGTTGAACTTCAAAAAATCTCAAAACAAATCACTCTTGAAAGATGAGACAAATAGGAAGTGGTGGAGAGTGTTGAATTTGGTGGGACATGTTTCTGTTATTGCAAGCGTGTTTGGGCAAAAGATTGTCGGATGGGAACAAAGGTTGTATCATATGATCATTACGTGTATCGGACATCGCCAGAGGATATCCATATGGGTGGATGCAAAGTGGTAGAATGTGAAGTGAGCCAAGCTGAGCTGAGAAACCTTCAAAGAGAGGTGACTATGTACATATAGATACGTCTGGTTAGGATTTTCAACCAAACGTGATTTCCTTCAATGTACCCTAAACAGAGTTTATTTGATGAAAAATCAATTTGAACAATAAACTCATTTGCCCCGGGGCAATGTACCTGGGGTCAAACGGAGTTTACAATTCGTAATCGCAACCAAACGTACCCTAAGTTGTTAACCACATGAAATCCACTGTGGGATGATGTGAAGTAGGATTCAACTACAATAATCTGTTCTTAAAACACTTTACACACTATGGCAAAGTCAAGACTCAAACTGAAGCATCTTACCACACCTCACCCAGCTCACTTCTATGCTGATGACTACCTTGGTGACCAGAAAGAACCAAAATGATGGCTTCAGGTGTTGACAATGAGCATTGAGCTTTCTCACATCTTGTTTGATCTCGGGGAAATCAATTGCACGGAATCACTTTTTTTTTAAAAAAAATGTGTTTTTTTTAGCAAGTTCAGAGTAAACAGCTACCATCAACGAGCTGAGATTTTGAGGGATGAGGGAAGATTTTGAGTGAAGGTGGTGAGTGCAGAGTGGGTATAGGAATCTCAGATTCCTGATCAGATCAAACAACAGTTTATCAGTCAATAATCTATAGAGGAGCAAATGATCCGGAGAGACAATTATGGAGATAAAGTGTTTTTGATAGAAGAAGTTTTAATGATGAATGAATAAGAAAAACTTCCTCAGATCAGGAATTTGATAGCAACATTCAGCGGTACAATATGTGGTTAGGTTAAGTGAACAAATGTAGTGAGTAAAGTCTCTGGACAAAATACTAAGTTCATAACACACACATAAGTTAGAAGAGAAAAAGATAAGTGTTATGAAATATATCTAATATGAAGTATTTGGTTCCAACAGTGGGATGGATACAGATAGATCATTTGATGGCTGTTGACCAATTTGATGCGCCAAAAGTCTATGATAAATCAAGTCGTAGGCTTGCGTAGATTTGAACAAGGGGAGTGCAAGATTTGACGCAGTTGTACAAACCGCATGTCTGGAACAGGTCCATAGTGGACCTGTCTGGAAATCACATTGTTCACGCAACCATAGTGGATGCTCTGAGAGCATCTGCAATCATTTGCATTAAATTTGGCGTTAGTTAACCCAAAGTTAACAATCTTTAGCTGGGGTCAACTAATTTCAAGACAAATCCCACAGTCGTTGGTGTCAAACAACCCTGTGCCAGCAGCGGGGCACAACAAAGGCTTTTCCGGCTGTGTTGCTCCGCAACACGTAGCATACAGGCCACAACCCATGTTATGTTGCTCCTAGCACCGCAACATGAAATAGGGAAGCCGAGTTGCGCGCCGGCTCACCCGTTGCGCGACGCAACAAGCGCAACAGTGCCAAAAAGCCTCAAAAACCGGCGCTTTTGTGGACCACAACACAACAAGTGCTGTTGCGGTCAGAAAAAAACATCAATTTCAAGGACTTCGTTGTGCGTCTGGGTGACCCGCAACAATTATATAGAGCTTGCGCGTTGGTGCGGCGTGTAGTTTCCGCAACGTACCAGCAGCGCAGCGCGCAACAGCTGCGTTGCTGGCCCAGGGTTGTGTCAAAACTGGATTAGCTAACACTTAACTCACTCTTCAAAGCCTGGTTCCACAGTGGCTGGCACTAGGCAAGAGCTAAGTCAATCAAATGATAATCGATAATCAATCACAGCATGATGTCAAGATACATCCAAATCAACTCGATCCTCAAAAATGTAGCCTTAAAGTCTTTAAGATATCCAGTTCATTTCAAGTTTCCTTCCTACATAGGTATAATCTATTGAGTGCAATTACAATCCATCAAAAAAATAAAGAAAATAAAGAAAATAAAATTATTCCATCCTTGCTACTTGTTTATCATTCAAGAAAAGATAAATGAAATAAAACTATTTCATCCTTCCTACTCGTTTATAATCTTATGAGAAAGATGAATAAAACAAAATCAATCCTTTTTGCCACTTGTTTATAACCTAATGGGCTGTTAAACAATGGTAAAAAAACAATCCAGGTTGATTGAGAGGTTGGCCGAGTGGTTGATTGTGTGGTTGATTGTGTGGTCAAGGTTGAGTTAGTGGTTGATTGTCCTGAAACTTTGAAGTCGGTGAGTGGGTAGAGGGCAATGGAAGAAGGATGAAGTGTGGTGGTGTGTTTTTGAGGGCACTGAGTTAGCTAATGTGTTGATAGGCTGGGATAACTTTGTCCCAGCCTACTGATTTTTTGTCGCAAAGCTAACCAACCATTGGTTAAAATTTGACCATTGTAGAAATTTCAAAATTGGTGAGTTAAATAGTTAGCTATTCCCGCAACTTAACCCGACAATTGCAGATGCTCTGACAGGAGTCGGCGCCAGAAGGTGTCAAGCGAGTTGTTGAGCTGTCCAAACTCCTGCAGGGACTTACAGATTATCAACACGCAGTGGCTTGAGCAGAATTCTCATTTTGGTGGGACAATCTTTGTTCCTCAACTACGTCCATCAGACCTCGGCCAAAACACTTGAGGCAAAGAGATTGCCTATGCGCTGAAAAACAGCATGTCTTGTACATGTATTTTTTTCCAAGGAACTATCCTCCTTTGTTTTATATATTGTTTTGAAGTTTGGTGTGGTTGGGGTGTAAAAATGTGTAATCAAAATGCAGTTTTGAATCCACTTTGAGGCTGAAGTAGTCTTGAGGAGAGAGATTGAAATCTTCTTGCAGAGCGGCTGCACCTTAATCATCTTAGTTATTTGAGGATCTTACATTCACAACTCTGTCTAAATCACTCAAGATCATCAAGTTAAACCATGTTGACTCAAAGCAAATCATCTGGACTTTTGACTATGAACAACAAAGAGACTCATCTTCCAAAGACCAGTTCTGGGTGGCTTACCATATGTCGAAGTCTTTTATCTGCAAAAAAAGAAGATCATGCAAAACGCTCAATTGAAATATTTAATAGCGCTTATGGTGTGGATTTGAAAAAATTACAATCAGATGCAGTTTTATCTTTGATGGAAGAAAAAAACACCTGCCTGCTCGCTGGCACAGGTTTTGGAAAATCCAGGGTACCCAAGCTGTTCTATCGCCTATTTCCAAAGAGCAAGAACCCACTGGTTTTAGTCATCAATCCACTTGATGCATTGGGCAATAATCAAGTGGGTTCTCTTCCTCATATGTGATACTCTGGCTCCTATCTGATCAAATCATCCAGGTGGAAGAAAAAGCCCCGGTGGGTATTGCAGCAGTCAACCTCACCCAGTCAACCTTCACCAAGTTGGTTGCAAAAGATATATTGGCAGGAAAATATCACTTGCTATATCTGGTATGTCTGAAACCTCTATGATTATTGTCAGCCAGGGCATAAGTAACCTAAGTAACTTATCTCCTGGCTAACATACAAAGACCTTAATACCACATGCAAACACATAAGAACTACACAAGAATGCTCATACTCGAGTAAGATTCTTCCTTTCTCATAATATTTCATAATTATCCTTTGCTCTTTTCAATTCATACATTGTTTAAGTTCTATACATTCTTTTTTAATCTTAATTAATAATCAGGAGTCATGTGAAAGTGGTACTGAATTAATTAAGGAAGTTATAAACTCCTGAAGGAAGTTTGAGTTTCCAGTTCTGATTCTTGATTTGGAGTGATGACCCAACTCAAGTCTCAATACATCTAAAACCTGCCAGATAACAACATAAGGGGATTGTTGTCTGATGGTCTGGGAATTTGTATAACTGGATTGGGTGAATGACTGACTTAGTTATTGGATGACACTTGAGAGGAGGAATTATTGCGTTTGAGGAAAAGCTTGATTTGAATTACACAAATTAGTCATGACAGCGGAATTCCTAAAAGGCGTCTCA